TATGTGTGTGTGTGTGTTTGTGTGTGTGCAATTTTTTATATATATTATTTATATATTATATACGCGTGATACTTATTGGAAAACGCCCAATATCACAGTGATAGAGCTAACATATTTAGTTGGATTGATGTAAGTTTGTGACCCTGGGTTTCACGCTATTTGCGATCGTCAGACGAACAGATTAATTTTTAAATTTTGGATTTATATATGGTTGCGTATATCGGTGTTTTTATGGAAGTAAGAGGAAAATTGTCGTCCCAACGCCACTCATACTTACACAAACATACATACACGCATGTTCACTCATTGACGTACTCAGACATACATACACGCACGCTCCCTCATTGGAGCTCACACAAACATAAACATATGTGAACAGTGTGGGACTGGGCATATATGCACATCCATGTGTCGTTGCGTACATACGTACGCATTTGGTCGCTATATTCAATGTTGGATTGTGTAGCGAATATCTTTCGTCTGTTGCACTGTCAACGCGCAGACCATTCGTTTATTTTGTTCGCTGAATAATGTTTTCTTGTACACACGTATATATGTATGATGGGGTCTGTGTAAAATGATGGTAAATGAAATTGCTACTATTTTTAATTTTTAAAGTTGTTTTGTTATTATTTTAAAGTCGGTTATTTGCTTGTTTTTAGCGATTGCGCATATGTAAACGATAGAAACTCCAATTTGTAATACTTATTAGTATCTATGCAGGAGAGTAACTCATTGCGCTTTCTCGGGCTAATGTTTTCCGCTATGAAGTGGAAAGATTATATTGAAGTAATTGCTTTGTCTGGTGCTAGGAACTTTGATTAACTGTGTCAGGATAGACAATTTTTCTCGTTAGAATCTATCTTGCGCATCTACCATTCGTCCATGTATTGAATATTGCTGCCACATCTGAATTAGTGCTTCTGCTATGTATTTAGAGGTTCTTGATAAAATACAAAGAAGAATCTGCAATGTTCTTCATCCTGACCTGGCATCTCAGCTTCAGTCAATTATCCACCGCCATAACGTAGCTTCATTGTGCCTTTTTATAAATATTGTCATGGTAATTAGTCTGATGCACTTTCCTCTATATAATTGTAATCATTGTAAATATTCATTTAGGTTTTAGTTTTTTAAAGTTGTTATTTTATTCCACCCACCTCGCAGACAAATTGTACATATGGGAACTAGTTAGGACTTTGAGGTATTACGGTGACTGTAGTAAGAATGGCAATTAAGAATGTGTTGTTTTGGTGTAAGGAATACATGAATGTTTGGGTCAGTAATTGTGGCTGATATTACAGGTTGCAGACCAGCCTTTCCCTATCTCCCCTTTTAGCCATGGGCCACATTTTTGTATTTCCAAAATAAATATTACTTACCTCTATAGTACCTAGACTATAAATTTAAGTGCAGTACTAGATTGGCAGCAAGGTTTCGTCATTTTAAGGTTGAAATGGCTAGATGTAGCCGTAAGTTCTATGCTAACAGTTTCTACTCTCGCACTTCTCGCTTGTGGAACTCTTTTCTTGCTTCTTTTTTTGCATTTAACTTTGATCTTCAAAAATTTAAATGCAATGTTAATCGTTATCTTCTGTCTTCTTAATTCTTCTTCTTTTATAGTTCTCTCTCCTTAATAATGCTTTCTTTTTATCATTTTATTTTCCCGTATGCACTCTCACTCAGTAAACCTTTTGCATCTTAATGGCTTTATTTCCTTGCTTGGAGTGAAATGATACATCATTAAGTTTAGGGTGGTGCACCTATTGATTAGTTTACTAACCACGACTGCACGCTAAGATACTAGGTATATATGTGTGCATGAAATAGAAGCAAATGTGACAATTTCTCCCGATATAAATTGGAGCTTTTTGACAAAGTTCTCAGTTTAGTTAATTATGTCGTTTTGATCCGTGTCCGCTAATGCCATCTTCAAATGTCCCCGATAGCGGCACTTTACTTTATGGTTTCAAAACACGCACACATTTTTTTTTAGTAAGATTATATTGAACATAACATTGTAGTAAACAGAACCTAGTTTTGGTCTCCGTGTGCGTGTTGCCTGGAGGCATTGAAAGCATTCAAACTTTGTCAGTCATGTATCTAATCTGATTATATGCGCTGACAAGCAACTTTTGTTTTATTTTTTCGCTAATGAAGTGACAGACAAAACGAATTGATAAAACAACGAATAAACAGCGGGAAGATTATTAGTTTATATTTCTTCCATGGGATTTAAATCAGGTAGACATTTTCGTGTAGTAGTGATTACGACTGCTTCTCGAAATATCTCTTGTCAGACGGGCTTTCGTCTTCGTCTTGTTTACAAACCAGTCAGTACGTCTTAGCTGAACTATCAATTCTGATATTAAGATTATTTTAAAGATATTACGTAATGTTTGACTCCGAATTAAATTATTCTTCAATGCTTAAATCAAAACATAACAAGGATATATCTTTTTCTGAATATTAGTGAAATGGCGAGCAGAATAATAATAATAATAATAATAATAATAATAAAATACTCTTGCTAAGATTAATTATTTCACAAAATCTTTCCAAAAAAAAAAAAAAAGGCTTGAAAATTATTAAACATTGGGACCCCACTAATTCTACGAGGATAACAAGTCGGATTCAGCTGACAACATTGTCAGAAGAACTGATGGGGATTAGAGATGTGTGTCACGCTTCGATTGATTAATGGGGGTACAAAAACTTCGGATAACTAAAGAGGGAGAAGGAGCCTCGTCAGTGCCTGCACAGAAATTGCGGAGTAGGACGCAAGAGGAGAGGGTATAGCTCTAATTCTATGAACAACAGATTCTTTTGTTTAAAAACGTCTGTTTAACATCTCTCTCAATTCCTTGAATGATGCTACACGATATATATATATATATATATATATATATATATATATATATATATATATATATAGGGATAATAGTGGAGGCTATCAACATTAAAACAAAGCAACCCACACTCAACAAAATTCATTTCAAAATAGTCACAACACATTACAATGCATCTAGGCATACGGTTCTGTTGTTAATACCTCTCGCGTGGTATGACGTTATAGAACCGCATCTTGAACTTATGAATGCGTCTGCTATTCCGCGAACGTTTTCGTCGCATAGTAATCTTCTATATCGACATAACAAAATATTGTCTTCGATGGTGAATATCTTTGTTAAAATATCCGTATAATAACTCTGAAAATGGCTAATTTGAACCGAAAGCTTAGATCAAGACAAAAATATCCAAATGTTAGACAATTTTTGTCTTTATTTTCACCCGAAATTAAAGCAAACAAACGAACATTAGAACGGCTCATGATCAGACATAATAGACATTCATTGTCTTATATATATATATATATATATATATATATATATCTTTTAAGTAGAATGTCGTGGGGTGATTGTTGGTCTGAATATTACCAGTTTTCGTGCTTGGTTCTGATACAGGTACAAACAAATGTCGGTTGGTAAAAATCTTCGAATTTGTCGAATTTTTTATGACTTTCACCACGATGGATGCAAACAGAAAATCTAGATGACAGTATCAGACTTCGTCAAGGGTTTATTTATTTATTTTCGATCTATACTGCTTAATTAGTTGTAATAAAAAGCAACAGAATTAACGTAAAAAAAATGAGTAAAGAAATTCATACAAGAAATTTGAAAGGAGTCTACCTGGATTGTTTTACGTTTATTCATTGATTTGTTTATCAACTGTTTATTTAAGGGCTAGAAAATATTTTTAGATTGTAAGAATTTTGGGAAGTTGTGGTGGGAGAGATAATAATGGTTTAATGATTCAAGTCTTACTAATTAAGCCAGAAGTGTGGGAAACGATGTGAATTCCTACCTTTCCCAAAGAACTTAACAGAATTCGAACTCTGTTCTCTGATTAACAATTCCGAACGATTATATTGTAGAAGACCGTGTGTGTTTGCGTGTTGTTGAATTGGGAACACGTGTGTTTGATTTCCTGCTAGAAGAAAGGTCCAACCTCAAGAACAATGCCGGACTCAAGTTGTCTAGCCGAAGATGTAAAGAAAACAAACAAGACCGATATATATATATATATATAAACATGTATATGTATTAAACAACACAATTTTACAATGGACATAGACATTAACATTTGTGCGTGTGACATAAAGAGTTTGTATTTTGTTGAATGTTCCTACGTACGTGTATGTGTGTATAATGTTCACGGAGCCTCCCAACAAATGGGAAGACGCGGATCTTCTAAGAGAGCTTACATTGTAGTTGCTGAAATGAAGAAATGAAAAAGAGAACGAGGCGAGAAGTCTCCCAGTATTTATAGTATAGGGAGAATGACCCCTAGTGACAATTATGGAATTAAGGAGGAGCTAACCCCGACAACCTGTAACACCACCGCACATCCATGCTTATCATAAACGGTCACCCATCTAGGTGACCAGGATCGACGTTGCTTAACTTCAGTGGTCGTACGGGAAACTGTGATTCAAAGTGATATGGCCATAAGTCTGTATTACGTTGAATTACACAACAAATGTATAAAAACGGAGTAAAAGTTATCTACTTTTAAAACATTTTCCATATAAAATATGCTTTAATTAAAAAAAGGAAGTGTTGTCTTAATCTACTTCTATGATTAATACTTTGGATGATTTTGCTTCTGCCTAAAGATCGGTGTACACTTTGGTTGTGAATAGCTATTAATATTTTGGAACAAATGTTAAAAGTATCCAAGTTTTCTTTATTCATAACTACTTTACCTTCTGACGTCATTGATATATTCACATTTCAGTATCTATTTTCTTTGTCTGAACATATCTGCTAATTTAAGATATTTAAAAATCCAATTCTTAACAGCATAAAAATCCGCTTTATTGACTGATAAAGTCTACATACATTTCTGGGACGATTATTTACCAAACGATTCGGTATAATTCATGAACGCCACCAAGATATACTCTAATTAGTAGACATTATTCTTGACTTTTAAAGCTGAACGATATTACTTTTTTTCTTTCAGATGCGATTGATAAAAATCACAAATCCGAATCAATCAATCCCGAACGGAGCTTAAAGCACCATAATAGCAAAATGGAGAGACATGAAAACAGAGCTCTGGGTACCCCAACTCCAGTTACGGAACCCCATGAAACAGAAGCCGTTACTAGTAAACCTATATCTGTTACTCCTACATCGTTGATAAAGATGGAACAAAGTCCAGCGCAACACGGAGCACCTCGCTTGAATTCGTCGCTTGATGGGTCACGATCCGTTTCGAACACTGAAAAATCGATATATAAATCAGATACTGAGGTCCTGTCTATCGTGCCCAATTCCAGCTGTGTGGTAGATGATGTCCTTGGGAGTAAACTAGAAGTTGCAGACAAAACGGCTAAACAGGCAGTGGCTACAGTGTCTAAGAAAAGTCCCAACTGTTCGTTTAGAGCCCCTGCAGTACACGAAGCTGTACATTCAAGGGAGGTAACTCCTCAACCGAGCAGGTCAGCAGACAGTACCAGTATAAGCAGCTGCCAATCTTTATTGAAAGATCAGAATTTTGAAAATCAGCTTCCTTTTTGCCGCTCATTCTCGTCATCTCTATGCCAGGATATTCCATTGTCGTTGTCGTTTAGTTCAGTTAGTCATACTAGTAGCGTGGATAGCGTTCTGTTAGCCACGCAGAGTTTGGATCAAACAGGGACACCATTACAGAACCATCAGAGTAAGTACTGAAATGTTAGTTTTAATTTTTTTTATAAATTAATATTTGCTTTTAAATGCTATAATATGTAAATATGAAACCTTTATATTTCCTCGTACCATCAGATAAATAACTGCTATATTTAAGTAATTTTACGGATGAATTTTCTGAAGTAGCAATCTAGCATTTTTATCTATACAATTAAATCTATTGTCAAAGAATTACAAATCTAATTTAAATCATTGAAAGCATATATTTCACTTTTCCATCGCCATAAGGTTCCTTCCATGTGCCTTTCTATAAATACTTTCACGGTAATTGTTCTGGTGAACTCTTCGCTATGGTACCTAGACTTTTTAAATATAAGTGCAGTACTGGACTGGCGTCAAGATCTCCTCAATTTACAATTGAGTTTGATAGATGAAAGCGTAAATTCTATGCTAACAGTTTATTTTTTCGCAATTCTCGTTTGTGGAACTACCTTCCGGCTTCATGCATTCCAGCCAACTATAATCTTCAAAAATTTAAATGCAATGTCAATCGTTATCTACTGTCCTCGTAATTACTCTTTTTGTTCTCAGACATTAGTAATGTTTCTGCATCTAATTTTTCCACGCCCAGTGGGCATTCGTGTCTTAATGGCTTTACTACCTTGCATGAGGTGAACTCTATATATATATATATATATATATATATATATATATATAAGTATTAGATATATAGCGGGGGAGGGAAAACAAGATAGAAGAGATGGTATATAGGTGGTAGGAAAAGAAAGGGTTAAGGAATTAGTGTTTGGGTAGTAATGGTAAGCTTTGACTGGCTGGCCCGGCCGAGAATTTTTCCTTTAAAATTTAGGACTTTTTATATTGGGTTAAATTGACCGATATGGTTTGTTGTTTTAGGCAGGACAAACCAATTTGATTCCGAATTAGGTAATTTAATGAAAGAGACCTTAATTCAAATAATAAGTGGAGATTGCAATAATAATACTTAAGTCTTCGTTTCTTCAGATCGAAATTCCTTAGTCACATCAACGCAACTTATGTCCAATAAGTATCGCGCATATGATAAATAAATATATATATGAATATATATATATATATATATATATATATATATATATATATATATATATAATTTTAAATCAGTTAATTATAATATTAATGCTCTGTAAATTTACATTGAGCACTATTTTGTAAAATAAAAAATAAAACTATCAATAAGAACACCGGATTATATACATATATATATATATATATATATATATATATATATATATATATATATATATATACTTCACATACATATGAATGAGTGAATGTGCGTGTGTGTGATGCCAGTTTTCTTATGTCTCTATATAAAAAAATACCTGCGACTGCTTCACCTTAAGACAGTGTAAGTAGGCTTATATCGCCTATTGCATTGTATTGAGTTTGATCTTCCCTGGTTGCTCCAAGCTCGACTAAGCTAAGTTTAGTAAATGACTATAAAATGATCTTCCTATCTATAAATAGTTAGCTTGATTGATCTTCAAATTACGAAGAAAAACGAAAATTAATCTGAAATTTGATTAACTGTGTTAGTGTCCCCCCATTAGTTATAAACACATCTTTGAAATGGTAAGTAATAATATGCACATCAATCATACAGACATTGTTAATGTGGAAGAAAAGAAGTCTTATCTTCAGGAACAAATACAGAACCAGTAACAGGATTCGAATTCTGTAATAAAAGTCATCACAGCACAAATTTGATGACTACTTTGTTACTTTGCAAATATATCACTTATAAATGAACATCTCTTTATATAGGTCTATCGTATATGAGATATATATTTTTATATATCAAGAACAGTATTGAGGAAATTGAAAGAAAAAAATGGTAAAAATCTTTATTTGTGACGCATTTCATCCGTTAGGACTTCATCAGACCGGGTTTGTTGACGTTGTTACGACTACAAATGTGAATGAACGAAAGACGCTCGTAGTTTCAAAATGTTTTGAAATAATAATTTTTTGTAATCTAGACAAATTCATCTATATTTTTTTTCTTTTCATTATCTTTGTTCTTAAATATCCCAGATTATGACAACAGAAAATCTGCAAAGAATGGACAAACGTTGTAAGAAACTGGACGTAAATTTACTGTTGTTGAACTAGCGATTAAAGCACTTTCTCGACATTTACATCTTAGCGAATTATTTGCTCTTCTAATTAGAGTAGGATTTTTTTTATGTCAAAATTGTGGTCAGTTTCCTTACGGTCAACAATCAACGCGTTTTGTGTGTGTGTGTGTTTAATGTCTTTTGTTTAAATTTCTTGAGGTTTTCCCAATATATTCTTTCTGTCAGTCCTTACATTTGATAGAGTAAATTCACTAAATAATTCACTAAGAAGAAACTGTCTAGAAAAAGATTTAATCGCTAGTTCAGCCACAGTAAATTTACGTCCATGTTCTTACAATGTTTCACCATGCTTGCTAGATTTTTTGTTATCACAAAATAACGTGTAAACAAAAAATATATTAAAATAATTGTCAGACATAGCCCATTTCATAATATATGATGTCATTTGTTTACGTTAAGATACATTTCGAGCAGATATGTGCGTTTGAGAGAAATCATGGGAAATTTGTTTTTTAAAAGCAGTAATTTGACTTTGCTAACTAGACGCTTCCTCTGTAGCTAAATGGTATCAGCACATCAGGCTATATGATGGTTCCGTTTAGGATACGGGTTCAATTCCTGTCGGAGAGCACATATTTTCTATGTAATTTCTAGGACATTCAGGCTATTTAATGTAGTTAATATTGTTTATTATAAACAGATCATTTACTTAAATATTTGTATCTCTAAAATATCATATAAACAGAAAATATATTTAAAATAATTATTGGACTTAATACATTTCATTATATATATATATATATATATATATGAAAAAATACAGTTTTAAAGTTTGCTATATTTATGGGATAAAGTGCTCAATATCATATAGATAGAGTGTATGTAAATATAAATATAAAAGTGAACATTGAAGTCAACATATATATATATATATATATATATATATATATATATATATATATATATATATGTGTGTGTGTGTCTGTGTGTGAGAGAGTGGGTGAGAGAAACTAGCGGAAATTCCCATGATTCGCAGTTGACCCAAATAAATACAATGACTGAAATTTAATTCATCCGCAGTTAATGGATAATAGTTTCGATGTTTAATGAACATGTTCATTCTCAAGTTAACCTCCTGCCTCTTCTCTCTGTTAATTCTTTTTCATTGTCACCTCTGTACTATTTGTGATATTGACTAAGTATATACCATTTAATTATAAAATACATATTACAAACGTTTAATTATGAAATAGATGTTAAAATTATAATTTTTAAAAAACTTCTGAATGCAGCAAGTAACGCCAGCTGTTCGGAGAAACCACAATTCATTGAATTCTCATTGGAGGAAAGAGCGTCAAGTTCGCTGTCTCTTCCAGCACGGTTCTCGCCGTCTTTGCAGTTCAGAGACTTTCCAGCTGGACATTCAATGCCTTCAACGATTACCGGCGGCTCTTGTAATTCTCCATTTGATGCAAACCAACAACCAGTATCAGAAAACCATAACCCAGAAAATAAATTTGGAGGTTCGCAACCAGCCCTACGCTGCCCGCTAATCACCGGCCGTTCGCGCACTCTTAGACATTCGACGCCGACTATATCACATTCAGCAGAAATGCATGAAGCTGGCAACCCGATTGTGCCAAGGACTTATCCACCTGCGAAAAATCTTCATCAGGTGAGAATCATTCGTTTGCATTACGATGAGCTGAGGATATTTCCTTTCAATAAACAATCTCGCTATATTTACGTTATTTTGAAAGATATTTTTTATAATTCGATTTGCTTATTAATGTTGCTCCACGTACTATCCCTTACCTTTACAAGAACTAGATCAGGCCTAGAATGAAGTACTGCTGCCATATATGGGCATGAGCTGCACAGTCTTCACTTTCTAGTCTCGATAGAGTTCAAAAGCGTCTCCGCGTCCTTGTGGGTGACAAATTATTTTCCAGCCTATAATCCCTTTCTTAGGCCTCTTGCTACTCTATCGCTATTTCCATAGAAAGTGCTCACACGAACTACATCCCTTACTTCTGCCAGTTCTAAACTTCATGGTTAAGACCCGCCATGCTACGTACATCATAGCGAACTACTGTATTCCATTTGTGAGGTTTAAGATTCACTCGGGCAGCTTCTCCCAGCGAATTATAAAATAGACATTACAAACTTAGCACTTTGGTCATAATATCACAAAAAAATCGCATACTACACCATATTAACTGCTTCAGATTCTTGAAGTCCTTATTAGAATTAAAAAAAAAAAAGAAGGTGATTAAGATGTTATCTTATCGCGGTACTGATATCTTAAATGTGTTTCACAATTGATTGATATATTTTGTTCATAGATGAATTTTGCTTTCTTGTCTGTGGCTTCGTGTGTAACATCAGCATACAAGTTATATTAGGTTGGTGCAAAAATAATTTCGTTTTCTAACATATGTTACTATGTAAAAAAACGAAATTATTTTTGCACCAACCTAATAAAAACGAAATTTAAAAACTAGATTAAAAAGAAACTGACACCTATAATTAAAAAAAAATCGAACATTTAGATCCTCAATCTTGATAATGACCAAACTAATAACTAAAAACACAAATCAAAAATCTTTGGACTATCGTTACATATATACTGAAAACTGATTTACAGGAAAAATTTAACAAACGTATCCGCAAAACAAATCCGTTTGTCAAAAGGACGGTTTTTCTTTTGACGCTGTTATTACTATATACTCTCTCGGTAACATATGGAACTGGATTAATTAATGTTCTTTTTTCTAGAGAATTGATATCAAAAATGTTAAATATTATTTATTTATTATATTAGATTGTTTATTTACAAGAATAATTTTATATTTTCAATATTCGGTAAAAATGTAAGAGCGGGAAAAATTATCTTGTGTCGCGTTTCGTCATTTCATCGGACGAAACGCGTCAAAAAAACTTTTTTTCAATTTATCATATATTTTCCCCAATATTCTTGATATCTAACAATATATATCGTTATCTCAATTCACAAATTATAAAAATATGTTGAACAAGTGTATATTTATTATTTTTCATATAAAGAAATAACTATGAAAACACATTTTTAGTCATAAATTTATATAAAAAAAAGTCTGAACAAGAAAATTTAAATAACATAAAGACAAATAACTAATTAGAAATTTAAAAAAAATATAGAGCATTTTTTCAAAATTTATTATTGCAATTACTCGTCGTTATGTGAATTTTAGTGAATTTATGTGGTGAAAGCAATGCTTTGAAAATACATTTTTTAAACATTTATAATTTTAGTTACCATTCGTCATGTATTTATTTAAGTAAAGTTTAATTAGAGGGCTATACAGTAATACGGCTATCAAGAGAAAATATGTCCTTTTGACAGACCATTTTTTTCGGGCCTGTTTATTAAATTTCGCTGATTTACATTTGTTGGCCAACAAAGCTAAATCCCGATTTCTGATTCTGAAGACAGAACTTATACGGCATATTGTGGTTTGTTTTTAATATTATTATTTCATTCATCTTCATGTTTTTATTATAACACTCTGGATCGATACACTCTTCGACTGTTAAAACGTCTAGTAATTACTAAATTTAACAAAGACTGTAACAACCATAATAATGGAGCACACAGTAAAAATGAAACTCATAAACAAAGGTGGATCGGGCGGGGAGCTAAAATAGCCCCAGCAAACACCTAAAATCGACCCATTAATAGAAATTATCATTCTGGTGAGAGTAACTTTTAATTTATTTGTCGTTTGGGTGCTGTAAATCACTGAAAAATTAGTATTGAAACTAGAGAAACCAACCTGTCCCCTAACTAGGGGCTAGGTCTCACTAGTCCATTTAGATTTTGTCTCGTGATCCACCCCTGCTCATAAGGGGCTTGAAAACTAAATTACTCGCTATTACGACAATCGATTATGTCAGGTCTGTCGAATGAATGCCGTTTCGATTATCTTTTTTTTCTGATATACGTTTTTTTTTTTTTTTTACTATTGTTCACCCTAGACAAGAGCCACTCAAGATAGATGGCTTCTAAATGAAATTGTTGTAAGGGCGCACAAGAAGGGAGCAAGTGGCGCATACTGTGCGGATATGTAGGATGAATAACGGTTGACTCTCGATTGAAGAAGTTAAGATTCTAGTGATTGGGGAAGTATACTCTCGGGAGTCCGCTCCATAATGCAACAGTTCGTAGAAAGAAGCTTTCTGAAGTGGAATTCCCTCTAACCATTGTAATCTGAAGGAAATGAGGATAGGTCGGCTAAGTGGGCGTGGCTCGGTGGGTCCTAGACGTGAAGGTCTGACTGGTGGGACCAAGGATTGTAGTTTAATCGAACATCTGCCATAAATACAGCAATAGAGAAGCGAGAGGCTAACAAATATTCGTCTGTTGGAAAGAGGTTGTAGGATGAATTCATCAAACACAAGGCCGCACAAACGCTTTTGAATTCTGTCGACGTTGGAAAGTGAAGGTTGGAAATCTTCAATCTAGATGAGAGAGCAACATTCAATTTTTGGTCTGATCTAGTTCTTGTAGAGATAAAGAATGGCAAAAGAAGTCAGGTACTTTCTGGAGCGGTAAAACGAACGAACCAATTTTCCAGCGTCTTTAACGATGGATCGTATATATGAGTTCCTCATGAAGTCAGAATTGACGTTTAAGGTAAAGTGCTTCATTACGAGTACAAGCGTTCATCATGACTGGGAAAAACTCAGGGTCTGCTCTGCGATAATGAAAAATTAATAGCTGGTTTTGGGGTTATTGAATGTTACAAGTTGATACCCGCCCTCATCGGGCTTAATTACTATCAAATTAAATTTCGAAAACTCATTTGTTTGTCCCAGAAGTGAGAGAGAGAGAGAGAGAGAGAGAGTGTGTGTGTGTGTGTGTGTGTGTGTGTGCGTGTGTGTGTGCGTGTGTGTGTGTGTGTGTGTGTGTGTGTGTAATTCCTCACCTGTATCTTTATAGTCCGTTTTCACCTATTTTTTCAGACTGTGGAAATAAATGACGTTCTAGCAAGCAATCATCAACCGAAAATATCAGACTACATTGACAGCAATCAACATTTGGCTGGGCAACTGGAATTACTTCGAGGAATGAACGAGTCTCTTCTGGCAGAACTGATTTTCCTCCGGCAGCAACATCATAATTATACAACGGCCTCCCAATCCACTCCAAGTCCCACCCCAGGCACAGCTCAAGATTCTAAGGTTTTTTTTTTTTCAATTAACTTTTTGATATCTAATTTGACTTAATGTATTAAAGCAATGTTTCTAACGAAATTTTCCTGTTTCTTAACATTTTGTTTAGTCTTTTGACATTATCGATCTCTGTTTCAATATTTCTTATGATTTCAGTGTCACATTTTCTATCATCTGTTATAACATTTCCCGAATAGATAGATTTTGAAGAATTTCAGTCACTGTAAATTCTTTTTATGAGCCGGGTGGCACAGGCTGTTGGGTGAAGGTTGTTTTTTATCGTCACCATCTCTAGACTGTTTGACAACCGAGACTATAGAACAAAGTCTATCCTGTTATTTAACCCATAGAAGAGATAGATTTATACCATTTCCAAAGGTATTTGCGGGTAAGTGATTGTAATGAACTCGACTGGAATTCGAAATCTGCTCTCCGATTTCTCATTTTGAGTCCCTGTACATTACACTACTCGCAATCGAATCTTAATTTGAAAGGCAATAGAGAAGTTTCGGAATACAGATATCCAATGATTACTTCACCTTTACCTTTCATGTGTGTTTATTTAGTTATTTTGCTTGTAGGATAATCTCGTAAGTCATTTGAAAGAAGAGAAACAAACCTTGCAAGATGAAGTACAAAAACTGAAGGAAGAACTTCGGCAATACCGGAATTTGGCAGCCTATAGCCAGAACACTCCTTTGCATCATTCAGAGACCACAGCAGTGTGCCCTTCTCAAGATAATGTGAATATCTACCATAGCGAAGAGCTTGTACTCCGGCGACGCATAGGTACGTACATTTCGTTTCCAATCTTGAACGTTTTTACATAGGCCAGTCGACTCTTGGGATTTCAGAGAGGTGCAAGTTTCACTTATAAATAGATGAAACTCCGTAATGTTTGTATTTTATGCTATTTTGTATAGGAGTAGTAGTAATTCCATATTGCGGAGTCTTGCTGAGAGTTCAAAATACACTCACTACATTTTGGCTGGTTCGCTCACCCAGCTACCGTAACATGGAATGACGGTTACTCTTATACGAATTCAGCACAGAATGTGGAAAAAAAAACGAACATTTGTCCACTACTATTATAATAAACAGTGATCATCTTCATCGTCAACTGTTGCTATGTGAAGTCTGGCAAGACACAACACTTAACTCGACAATCAGTCGTGGTAGTTGTATTCAATACTCAGCTAGACAAGTCACTTCAATAGTATTATCTTCTTTTTCTTTCTAGACAATTACCCAGGACTACTTATTATGAATGGATCAGTATATTCATGCCACTAAGGAGGGTAATTGACTCTTGCCACAACAACCTCTTGAAAATAGCTAAAGATCTAGCCGAAAGCGATTGGGACAATAATCACGAAAGATAGTTTCTATACACTTCATAAAAGAAAAACTGTAAGGACACGAGAAAAAAAAACAAAACAACAAAAAAAAAAAAACGGATTAACAATTTTTTTCTTATTCCTTACATTCCGTGACACAGTTTCGCATGATTTGATTCTGGCTGTCTTACAAGCGCACAATTACAGTACTAAAGAATTATAATCAGCTGTGATCGAAGACTTGACATTGTACTTGGCCGATATATGATGATTTCCTAAACGTAGCTTAAAGGTGGTACAAATGAGAATGGAACTCGCTATTCAGTCTCGTAAATGATCTAGCGAAACAAGCTTTCTAACCATTATACCATGTCGAAGTGTCTAACTTCGTCTATATACACACAAATCTGTCTAATATTATCAAATGTCTTTGTTTATATTTATATAAATCAAGACAACAACCCTTTTTATTTTAGATTCGATCTATCTATGTAATATTATCAAATGCAAGTTTCTGTTTATATTTATATAAATCTATATATTTATCCGTTTTACTTTAGTATCTATCTATCTATCTATATTTGTTTGTTTGTTTAGCGGATCTTCAGCATCAAGTAAGCCAACTTCAAGAGAGCAATTTGTCACTCTCGGCCCAATTGGTAGGCGCCAAAACAAGGATTAGTCAACTGGAAACAGACAATCACAAGTTGACTGAACATCTCCAGAACGAAGAGAATGACGTTGCCTTAAAAAAGTCAGCGAAGAAGGTTTCTCAGGTGAGAATTAATTCATCTTTCTAAACGTTCTTAACCTTTTGAGCCCGGCGTTCCTGAACAATTTTAACCCTTCTGCCTGTTCTCCTGAGTCAAAATTCGCAAATAATTGGCATGTAATGTTTCACAGTAGTTATAAAAATATTTACAAGTGTTTACCTACCGTTCAACCGGTTGCTGGGCATTACGTCATTTTTCTCTACCACTGGTAAACCGGTGGTTATGGCTTCTCACACATCAGGTTATGTACACAGAAAAATATATAAACCCCATTGGTAATCGTCAAACGTAGATTAATCTGACACAAAGCCACTTAGTGAGAATCGAATTCACCACGTTAGTAATAGTCTGCAAGACAAGCTGTCTATCCACTGTTTGACGACCAGGTACTTTTTCAGATCAATACTTCGAATGAATGAAGATTTTGATGGATAATCCATATGACAGGCAGGATTATTGGTAGTTGGCAAATCTCAAACGGGAAGACAAGTTTTCCACAGTGGATGCAGGAGAATGTCTTACATATTAAGAGAGAACCGGTTTTACAAGGTTGTCTCATTTCTTCATCTCTAGTTCCACGGTCTCTTTCATCATCTTTCGTCCAGGTGGGTCGATGCATCATGTCAATTTGGTGTTCAGTGGCAGTAGTTGATTCCAAGAGAGTAGGATCAATAATTCTCTGTATTTTTATGTGGCGACCCTCTCCTAGCACCGCCCTCTCTCTCTCTCTCTCTCTCACACACACACACACATACACACACACACACACACACACACACACACACACACATATATATATATCTATATATATATAAATCACCTTTCTGTTGTACACAGTCCGACCACTACTATAAGTTTCATTCCTTAAAGAATCGTCAGGCGGTCGGCATCTGTAATGCGAAAATGGGAGCTTTTATTCCCCCAAGAAAGACTAAGCTGGAAAAAAATATAGACGGTGTTCCCGCACCATGCATAAGCCAATCAATCTCACCTATGGAGTACCCATCCGGCCAAGATCAAAATAAAACCGTACACACACAATTATACTCCACCTCTAAAAAGATAAGAAAAATCTCGCCGAGACGTCAAAAAAAAAGTGCTCAATGCAACAGAGACACCCATGGCAGAGCTTTCAAATAGTTACTTTTATATATATATATATATATATATATATATATATATATATATATATATATATATAGATATATATATATATATATGAAATGGAAAAAGTCCGACAATTATTTTAAGACATTTTTATGTTTATACGTTCTTTTTATAGATACAAATATTTAAGTAAATGTTCTGTTTATAATAAACAGTATTAACGACATTTACATGTCAGAGAATGTCCGAAGAATTTTAAAAAAATGTCCGAGAAATTTAAAAAAAAACCCAGTAAAATCGACCTTGCTAACCGAAACGCTCCTCTGTCGCTAAATCGGTAAAGCCCGCCAGGCTATATGCCGGTTCCATGTAGGATATAGGTTCGATTCCTGTCGGAGGACGCATATTTTCTATGAAAATTTCTTGGACATTCAGGACGGGAAATGTCGTTAATACTGTTTATTATAAACAGAACATTTACTTAAACATTTGTATCTATAAAAAGAACGTATAAAAATGTCTTTATATATATAAACACGCGTTATTAAACTTTTTACACACTTGAAGTAACTGTCTTACTAACAAAAACAGTTCCATTATAATTAACCTTTTGTTCAAATATTTATTCTTTATTATTATAAATTTTCCTTCGATTTCTTCGTATGACGGTTCAACAGCTCCATTTCGAACTGGACACTCAGAATATCCAAATAGATAATTTGTTTATAAGGTCTAGTAGTGTGAGCCGCACGTTTCAGAAGAACTGATAACAAAGAAATGGTTACACAGTGTGCCACGAAATCTTCAAAGAATTTATCCTTTCATCTTTTTTTTTTTCATTTTTTAATCGTGGATTTTTGATCTCGAAGAACGTCAAGTGCCTAAGGAGAGTACATGTACTTAATCATCACCAACCGTGAAAAGGCATGGTTTGAATTCCGGGCTTTCTCTCTCCTAGATTAGTTGCCACTCAAGGAGAGTCCTGTTTTCTCTGTTATTTAATTCATCGCTGGAAGATGGTGGACTTATGGCTTTCCAAGAACATTAGCGCGAAGTTAACGAAAAAAAATACTAAAATAATAACGATCATAATTTGAACTTGGCTCGCCATTTCCACTTTCAGTGCCGATAGCCGTTACACGAGTATTTTTTGGTCATGGGAGTTGGGTAGAAAAATCAACCGAGGACATCCTTATTCGAACCATCCTATTTATCAGATACATAGGAAATTTCTTCCTACCCTTTAATTTGAGTTGTGAGCATTCTTAACTTGTGAAAATAAAACCCACTGCACTACTGAATTGGTTCATTTGAATAGATTGTCAATCATGAAAGTCAGTTAAGGGCCCGAAATCTCTCGATAGACATTTTGATTCGACTTTAGACCCAATGTAGTTTTATATTAATGAATTCCTGAAATTTTTATTTAACTCTACTCTTTAAATCCAATGGATTTTTAACAAATTAAATGTCTTCACCCTATTACTATCTAACAAAAAACTGGGATTACTTATGGAAATCAATAATTAACATTATTAAATAACTTCTTGGAATGTATATTCAATTACATTCGGAAGAATTAAATGAAAGTTTATTCCATATTAATTTGTTAATACATGTCTGTAGCTCAAATAGGATTAAGTTCACCTTGCAACCCGCAAAGCGACTAGTAATGCACTCTTATCTTTTTAGGCAAATAGTTGCGATTTCCCAGAACTCGCGGGAACCCTTATTTTTAAAACCACGTAGGTAGATTACAGAGGCTGTTTAATACAAAATATTTACCTATGTGGAGAGGAGAAGTAAATGAAGTTTTATGGTACACTTCATGATATAATAGTCGTTTACAGGTAAACTAGTTTTAGAATTAATTCTTACTGTTTGAAAATAAAGCATTGAATTTTCAGCTGAATTGAATGACGAGATATGATTATTAAATAATTCATTGTGGAAGAACATTTTTAAAATGTAAAAAGGGTGACTAAATAATTGTATTAAAAATAATAATGTTTTGAATTGCAATTCCTGTACATAAGGGAAGAAAACTGAATGGTACTTTACATTGCCCAAATGTGACGTGGAACTGTAATAAGCAAAAGTGTATTGAAATTTATTTCTGATGCTTGACACATAACCGTATCAAAATTACTTCTTTTTTCATTCCTTACAAATTTGAAGAGGAAGCTAAAGACAACCTTCAACTGCAGTATTTTCATGAAATTATGGAACGCGTTTCCACAGAATTGTTCGGAAACACGATTACACACACACACACACACACACACACACACACACACACACATATATATATATATATATATATATATATATATATATATATATATATATATATATATATATATATATAACCTATGTCTACGCGTTCCATATTAGTCGATTTTAAACAGTGCTCGATAGGATAACCTAGAGCTTTATACATATAAATATAGATAACTAGACTCGTTTCGAAAAACCCTCGAATTTTTGATTTGCTAATCAAATCAATCTCGAGGAAAAAAAAGTTTTTAAAAAAAAAAAGAGCTACAAACATGAACTTCTGCCGACAAAAAAATCGCACAGATGCAGGTCTGAAGCCCAAAGAAAAAAAACCCCGATACGAGTAACAACTAACTAACAAAAGAGCTCAATACAACCGTAGAGCAGACCTAGATATACCTAGTGATCGAACAAACCTACCTAGGTTTCACCTAAACGGATCGTCAGGGAAAGTTTCCCTGACGATCCGTTTAGGTGAAACCTAGGTAGGTTTGTCTGGCTCACTAGGTGTATCTATATATATATATATATATATATATATATATATACTTTTGATTTTGATTTTTCTTCATATTTCGCTGCCTTTTTTTTAGCCTTCCGAAGAAGAGGACAACGTTAAAAATCGAACCCATATCGGCGACGTTCATGCGCAGACGGACACCGATTCCAGGTCGGAATCAGTTGGCGGTTCTTTAGGCAAAGAGAAGCGTAAGAAAACATCAGACCATTCTCGAAGACAGTCAAGTAAAGAACATGGTATGTTTTCATTATATATATATATATATATATATATATAATTAAAAAATAGAGCAAATATTTTAACTGTTAGTGATATGAAATCAGATAAGAGAGCTGAGAAAAGTATGAGCCCAGTGCTCATCACTGGCATGTTACGATGGTAAGCAGATGTGTGAGTGAATGTGAGAGCAATAGACTCTCTTATAATTACCTTTGCAAGTAATCGAAAATGTAACAGTCTTATTATAATAATAATAATAATAATAATAATAATAATAATGATAATAATAATACACATTTTCTTCCGGGTCTCATCCAGAGACCTAAATGTCAGAAATGGCTTCATGATATTTCCCACTGATCATTTTTGTAAAAAAAACTAAAAAAAAAAAAAACATAAGATCACACATTTTACTTGGATAAAGCTCCTCGTAATGTGTGAGCTGTACTTGTAAGTACAATTTTTTTAAGGTATGGGCTACCAGTAATCACTTCAATGAGTCTATCGAAGCCTTTTCCAATCAATTCAAGGGCTCCAACCATAACTGGAATTATAGATGTCACATTTTTTAAATTTCCAGTTCAAGATTCTTGTATTTTGACCTTTAAAAATACATTAAAATCTGCAGGTGCTGTCATGTCAACAAGAAAGCATATTTTGTTCTTGTGGTCGCGGCGATTAGCTTTGATTGTTCTGTCTGCGTGCATTGTAAAGTCCCACAAAATTGTTACAATTCCTATCTCTGTAACCGGGTCTGAGTGATATTCATACCAGTTTTTTGCAGTTTCCTTTCCGTAAAAGATGCATATTTTATAATGCATACATTGACCCACACTATCATGCCGAGTTTTATATTCGCTTGGTGCTAACACTGCAACTGATACAAGATGGTCAATTGTTTATCACAGAATCTGCATTTCGGGTCAACAAAAATTTTCAGTATGTGTGCTTGGTAATTTCTAGTTAGCAACCATTAGTCCCATGCAGCAAGAAAAAAAACCTTCAATGTCAGCTTTTAACCCTGCACCACGTAATAGGTACGGGGTCTGTCCACATAAGCTTGTCTGGTACGGGCAGAGTATTGACCATGAAGGGGATTATCTTGCCATTGTTTCTATATTTAATATATTGCATTTGCTTTTGTTTTCTTTTTAGGTTCTTTGCCGAGGCAGTAATTTTATTATGGTTTATTTGCACTTCCTCACCTACTTGAAATTTACTTTTGAATTTGTTGGCTTCCTTTATTACTGAATAAAGTTTCTTATTTCTTTCATGTTCTTTGACACAGATCACTATCCAGTCTTCTGTAGTTTCCAGGTATCTTTGAAGGCCGATTGTTGTGGTTTTTTAAGATAGTTCAAGTCTTCCTTCTTCAGATCTGGGCACATACAGACGATCAACATCAACCTTCGGATGATGCATGCGTTGGCAAGTGAGAAGCTTTCTCATTTTGACATCCATTTGCTTAATATCAGCTATGGTCCAATTAAGGATGTTGAAACTGTATTGCATCACAGGGACAGCCAAAGTGTTCATGGCTGATATTCTGTTCTGTGAATATCAACTCGCCTATAGTATTCTTTTGTTACTTTCTCCTTCTTTTGGGTATGCTGTGTTCCACCCCCTTCGCTGACTCCTCGTTATTTATAGACTTCTTCTTGTTCCATTTCTCTAATCTTTGTGACAAAATCTCGATCTATTGTGTTTATGTAATTCTCCCTTTCGTGAATGTTACTTTTGCACATTTATCTAATCCAAAATCCATACCGATGTCATCATTGAACATTTTACAGTATTGGGGATACCCTTCAACTCATTTTCGTCTTTGACAAAGAATTTGATATCATCTGATTAAACACTTTCTTTTTTTACTTTGTATCCATATTTATTAGTGTTTAGTTCATGTAAATTATTATTATTAGTAGTAGAAATAGTAATAGTAGTAGTAACAGGTTTTATATACAGGTAATAAATGATATAGACTTGTACTTTGTTTCAGGAGCGAAAGGGATTCTTTTTGTGTAAGTTGATTTAACGAAGTTAAACAGCTCTAAACGGTTGGCAAAGAGTTAAAAAAGGAAGAAATACAAACTGATGAAATGAATTAGAAAGAAAGAAAGAAAGAAAGAAAGAAAGTAATGAAAATAGAAGAGAAAGAAAGGATCGTGTGTGTTGTTCCCTCAAGTCTCCTTGTCTTCTGTGAGGGAATGACCCAGCATTCACTGCTATGTAGAAGAACTGATATTACATAGCAGATCAGCACTATTTTCTTTGATTCTAAAATCGCCATTGAAATACTGTGAACAAGATTAAGAAAACATCATTAGATTCTGAAAGGGGATTTTGCAGACCGTTTTGAAAAATTTAATGTATACTGAAATAAATATAAAAACATACTTGGAGTCCTAAAAGGAATACTTTAAGTGTGTATGGGGGTGGGAGGTAGTCGCCCTCGTGTTCAGATGTGAAAGGGCGCAATTTTTTTTGTCTGACGAGAAATATTCGTCTATAAGATAAGTAGCAGTTTAATCTAATATTTTTCAGTTTGTTTTTTTAAACCATGGACACTACCACGAATAAATGGCTTTCCAAGTGAGTTCCAGAACCACATATAGCATTGATTTACTCTCTAATTACTGGATGATATGAATTTTAAAACGATTAGCAAATTATTTAAATATACTTAGGTCTGACATGAATAAATGTGATCTGAGATACTATCAACTATTTGAAAAGATTCTTGTCATTAAATTGAAAGGAAAGCCTTTCAACATATCCATCATAGGCACCGACAAAGTACAGAAGAAAAATTGAAAAGTTTTACTGTGCGCTCGGCAAATGCAAATCGCATTAAATTACAATCGTCAGATGACACCTGGACACCAAAGTAGGCAAGGAGAGAGATTGATTATTGGCGGCCACAATCTTAACAACATAAGATATGCAGATGACACAGTGTTGATAGCAGACAGAGAAAGAAGACTACAAGAACTCCTACATAAAGTAGCGAAGGAAAGCGAGAAGAAAGGACTAAATATAAATTGAAAGAAGACGGAATGCATAGGTGTTAGTAAAAGAAGAGTCCAATATGCAAATTACAAATTGGAGAAACCAAACACAAGCAAATACGACAATTTAGATATCTGGGAAATGTTTTGACAGAGAACGGAAAGTGCGATATCAAAAGCCGATAGCGCATTGAGATAGCGAAAGATGCCTTCCAAATGCTAAGCAAAGTATTAAGAAACAGGGAAATTTCGTTAGAACAAAGAAAAAGGAGTACTGAATTGACACGTAATATCTGTCCTCCTATATGTGGGACATTTCAAGATATTTTTTTTACTTGCAAGGTTAGAAGGTATTTTTATAGCTAAAGAGGAAATTTCTTCTTTTTACGTTGTTACCATTAACTGCTTGGTCCTATCGTTTAATAATGTACCAGCTGAACATAGAACCTATACTGTGAGCAAACCGCCAGCATACGAGTAGAAAATGAATTGAAAATAAAAGGGGTTTAAGACAAGGATGTGTCTTCTCACCGGACTTATTCAACTTATACAAAGAGGCGATTCTGAGAGAATTAGAAGTCCTACCGGGATTCACCAATGACGGTCACAATTGTGACGACATAAGATGTCCGGATGATAGTGTTGATGTTGATATCAGACATAAAAAGGGAACTCCAAGAAATCCTACAGAAGGTAGTGAAGGAGAGCGAGAAGAAAGGACAATTGCAAAAAGACGGAATGCATAGTTGTTAGTAAAAAGAAGAGTCCAACATGTAAATAAACCAAACACAAGCAAATACGACAATTTAAATATCTGGTAAATGTTTTGACAGAGGACGGAAAGTAAGACACTGAAATGCAAAAAAGCATCAGGATAACGAAATATACTTTTTAAAAGCTAAACAAAGTATTAAGAAACAAGAAAAATTCGTTAGAAACAAAGAAAAAGTACTGAACTGTTATGTAATATCCGTCCTCCTATATTGCAGTGAATACTGGACAATCTCCTCAAAGATGAAGAAAAGATTTGAATCAAAAGAAATGTGATTCTACTGGAAGATGCTGAGAATAGTATAGGCCGAAAATTTTAGCATTTTTAGAAAAAAATCGAAACAAAAAGGACACTTATACTTAACATCGGGATGAGACAGCTGAAATTTCTAGGGCCCATAATGAGGAAAGAGGGCTTGGAACATTTGATACTTACAGGACAGATTGAAGGCAAGAGGGACAGAGGAAAACAACGCATGACCTACCTAGCGCGCTTAAGTAAGTCGATGACGGAGCAATGTTTAGGAAAGATAACAAAAAGACAACATTTATTAAGAGCTACAAAGGAAATTGTGGAGAGCGATGACTGCTAACGTCTTGAAGGGACACTGCATATAGAAGAAGAAGAAGATCGAATAGCGATATGGAATGTTCATAGAAGATGTACGTATGTCTAATTAATCCCAGTTAGGGCTTCATTTTTCGTCTGGGTAAAGTGGTATTCAATTTCTTTTTTATTGTCGTTCAGAGAGGAATAAGCCACAAAAATATAGTAAAACATTTCAAGTATAACTTGCCCTCGAATGCTGAGAACCCTTGGTACATCACTGTTTCGTATATATATTGAATTTAACGCCTTTGCCTTTTCTTTTCTCTTCTTAGAAACTCTGAACAAAACCGAACGAGAAGAAAACATAATTTCGACGGTGAGCATTTCCCAGAATTCTCAGCCGGCATTAAAAGAATTGCATTTTGAAAATAAAGTTTATCCGATCCCCAAGAAAAGCGAAAAATCTATCACCGAAACTAAAAGCGTCATAGAAGCCCAGAACGATGCCACTCGCAAACAAACGACATCTGACAATGGTAACAAACCCCAAACAGAAATGAAACTCGTAAACAATTCGGCGTTATCCAACATCAACGAATTTTTGTCTTCGAGGAAGACCCGATGGGATCAATATAATCAAGTACGATTAAACAAAGCATCTATTCAGAATCTGCAGAAGTCACTTGACGAACAGGATATATTAAGGCAAGCCTTCTTGGCTCAATACAAACCAAAAGTTTGCGATCCATCCAGAAACTCGACTGAGAGTTGGACCTCTTATTCCCGCTCAAACAGTAAAAAGACAGAACAGGTATGTACACACACACCCACACACACACACACACACACACACATATATATATATATATATATATATATATATAAGATAATCCTAAGGAGCCAGGCAAACCTACCTAGGTTTAACCTAAACGGATCTTCAGGGTAAAGCCTGCTCTACCCTGGAGATCTGTTTAGGTCAAGCCTAGGTAAGTTTGCCTGGCTCCTTAGGATTATCTTAGGTTTTCTCTACTTAGTGTATTGAGCCCTTTACGTGGTTGTCTTTTTACTCGGTTTGTTTTTTTTTTCTTTGGACTTGTATCTTGAACACTGGACGATTGTTTTCGCCTTGTTTTAATGTTCTTGGTTCTTTCTTTTTTTATTCTCTATTTTTCCTCGGGTACCGATTTCTTCTACTGCAAGTCGAGCTATCCGAAGTTTTTCCAAACGAGTACCACCATTTATATATATATATATATATATATATATATATATATATTGGGGGTCGTCTTATACTACAATTCTAAAAAAAGAAACCTTAAATTCTGAGTGTTGTTTGTCGGCCTCAGTGCAATAACCAATGACGTATATGAAAAGATTTAGTCAGTCCGTCACTTATATCCCATGCATGATACACGCTTAGGCGATCATGTATCTTTCGATACATGACTGACGAGGCAGATTTTTTCCCGTAGTAGGTTGCCATTTCTTTCTGCAGTAGACCAGTTGCTATCCAATACTATAGCACCCCGTCCGTCCTGCTATCATAGTTCGGAGAAGAAAAAAAAGGATTCATACTTTTCCCAAGGGTATTAGCGCGTAATACATTCACTTACGTGGTAATACTTTTGGGAAAGGTATGAATCCCCTTCTTCTCCTCCCAGTTATGGTTAATCTGATAATAAAAGTAATAAAATCATTTGCACCTTATATATTACTGGCATAGCATTATAATAAATTGTCTATTCAAAGAATAATTCCATGTCATTGAAATCAACTTGCAAGCTCAGCTGATAAAATCTAAACGTATTACTTTTGTCTTTGGCTAAACTTTCAATAATCATCATGGTAGTGTTGATTACCGCAGTATTAATATTTAGGATAACGTAATATTCAAATATAAATAATTAATAAAGTTAAACAATTTCAACTGGCTCAGACAGAAGTTAGGAACAGACTGAATAAAAAAAAAATTAGTACATCAGGCTGTTTGTAACTGTTTAGATATAGGAAAAGAAGAGGAAGAAGAAGAAGAAGAATCAGTATTCACAAGAGATCACGTGATGAAACGTAAACAAAACAATGGTTTCCCTTTTTGGGGACGTGTGTAGGAAAAACATGATATAGAATCAGTTTTCTTATTTCGTTTATTTTGAATTTCTAAGGGTTCAGTAAGTAACAGCATTTCCAATAACATCATCTTTATATAATCAACAAGCAGTCGTTTTATACTATATGTATAGGATAAATTCATGAAAATTTGCTCTATTTTTTTTAACTCATCTTATCTAAAGGTTGCCATATACGTGGAATTATGCGTTATATAAAACGAAGTTCAACTGGTTTTTTTAATAATTTACACGTATTATTATATAGTCGACTTGTCATTTATTTCCATCAAATTGCTGTCACATAAAGTATAAACGCAGACAGTATTTTAAATGCATAAACTTGATAAAAAATAATTGCAGGTTGTAAGAAAAAGCAGAACGTTTCCATTTGAATTCAAGAGTTTTTTTTAGTATTTGTGTAGTTTTCAGTATTTTCTCACTGACACAGAATTTATACTTCGATAAGCTTAGCAAAGAATCTATATTCTAAAAAGAACAGCTGATCCTTTGTCCATCTGACTGCATGCGACTCTGCCTGTGCATATATGACGTATATGCGTGTGTCTGTGTTGTACGTGAGTGACATATGTGTCAGTACTATTCAATGTGCACCCTAACACACACGCATTCACGCACAATGTGGATGAGTTTGAAATAAGATATTTGAATAATGTATTATCCCCACCACACACTGTTTGGACAACCCCTGTCTTAGGCTGAGCAATTAAATCAAAAATTTGGAGACAATTGCTTTTTTATGGCCTGCCATTGAATTAGAATACGCACACTCACATAAAATGGGAATGAAACTGAAATCATCATTTGTGTCGGGAGGGCTGATTTCCCATTTCCTGTCTGGCAACAACCCCTGAGAAACAGGAAAAGATAAGAAAAAAAGGTACCAGATCCAGATACTTCTCACTCCTTGGAGAGCTGATTTCACATTTTCTGTCTGGTAACAACCCCTGAGTAAAAGAAAAAGATAAGAAAAAAGGTACATATCCAGAGCCTTCTCAATCCTTGGAGAAACCCCTCCCTGATTGACCATGTTTTCAGGGGCGTAGCTGGGCCAATTGCATGCTGGTGAAGCTATTTAGTTGGACGTTTTCAATTCAGAGTTGTTCTTCTCCTAGATTTGTTGCCACCCCAAACTATTGGATCCAGTGTGACTTGTTATTTAGCCATAGCTGGAGGGAAAAGATAGATTCATACCTTTCCCAAGCGTATCGTAAGTGAATATAACAAAATCGATTGGAATTCAAACTCCACCGTACCTCCAAGGAAAACAGCAAAAGCCAAAATGTGAGGCGCTTTTCGAAGTCATTTTTATTATCCATTCTGTATTTAAACTGGATATATATTTCTAATAAATGTAGTATTTTAAATAGACAAACAATTTAGATTTGAAATTTGATCGTTTTGCCGTCGGAGAAACGACGGGTACCGAACTAATATTTACAAAACATTGGTTCTTAATAGTTTATGCGGGAATAATTTTCCTGTTTCAATTGAAATTGACTTCGAAATCAACGAGGAAATCGTCCATCTCTCATTCTTTTCTTTTTTTTTATACCTTTCATTTTTCTTTATGCGGAAAAAAATCTAGGATAGATTTCTTGCAACTATTTACTGCAGAGTCTATCAATGCAGTTGCAAAATCTGCAATGCTTTTCAGTTAAAGTAAAAGCAGGTACTGATGCATATATTTTGGTCCGGCTTTAACAATTCAAATTATTGACTTTCAGGTGCAAAATTGGCGAAATCAACAATCATACCATCAACAACGAGCGATTCGACATCACTTTTGCTGGCAGCACCAAGCTTACCACAAGTCTATTCCACAGACCAAGGTAAAGATTTATGTAGGGAAATTGTGTTTACCAAAGTAAATTTTGTTTACCAAGGTATTGTCTTTTTTGACTAATGTTCTCCCAATACAAGACCCAAGAGCTACTCAAGGTAGAGGATTAATGTGTGGTGTTGTATGAGTGTAACAAAGAGCAAGAAGTGAAATTTTTGGGGCAATGCAGGAACGATAACGGCTCGTTCTAGACTTGAAGAGGTCATGATTTACTTAGTGAATAACATTTCTGAGTTCAGTTGGAGACGTTAGAAGTCTAGTGTGGAAGTAGATTTTACAAGGAACCGGGAAGCCAGTCCTAAACAAGAAATAGAGGATAAATCTCTATTCCTTCAAAAGACATGAGCAGTGGAACGAAAACAGTAAATTGAATAAAGGGTTCAGTTCACAATTCCCTGTAGGTTACCCAGATCGATGTACACTTGAGGAAGGCCGGTGGGTACAACGGCCAAAACGATATGTAAACAACAACAAAGATGATAGAATATAAATAATGTAAATAAAGATTATTTTTATCTTTACTGAACTTTACTTTTAGTTTAATATTTAGAAATTACAGGACACAGACAAGAAAATAGTGTTGTACACAGTTTTATATAGATAGGTATATGTAAAAATATTGACATATATATATTAACTAATGTTCACCCAATACAAGGCCAAGAGTCACTCAAGATGGGTTACTGTGTGGATAAATAAGGACAAGCGTTAGGAGTTATGGTGTTGTCGTAGACTTTAAAAGGAACTGGAAACCCAATCCTAAACAAGAAATAAAGGATAAACCTCTACTCTTATCGAATAACCGGGAAAGAGTGTGAACTGGACGATAGGCGAACCTAGCTGTTCTTATTGAATATTTCTAGAATGGGGAGAAGGACTGAAAATGTTTAGATATTAACGTTTTCAAAAACTTTTATACCATTTGCATTTGCTTTGATTTAATATTAGAAAAAGTTCCAAAATAAATCAAGCATGAAAATCATTCTAAATCATGTAGTATTTTTAGCAACATTTCATTTTTTTAATTTGCTTATAGTTCACCCAATACAATGCACGAGGGCCACTCAAGGTAGAGGGTTACTGAGTGAGATCGTTGTAAGTGATGGGTCAGGAGAAATTAAGGAATGCATATTATAAAAACTTGTGGGATAAATATCAGTTGACTGTGAACTTGAATAGAGTAAGATTGTAGTTTCCAAGGAAACATCATTTTGGGAGTCTTCAACAAAGTAACGGTTTTGGGGAAGAAACTGCTTTTATCAAAGGAACACGAAGGGTATGGGAATTGATAGGCACCATGAACAGGGCGTGGTGGGTCTTGACTGTGAAGCTCGTGGCTCTAAGTAATATAAATCGTCCGAACATCTGCCATAGTAATCACGAATGAGAGGCTAATAAGCTTTCCTCAGTAGTTCAGGTGAGGATGCCCAATGCAGTCTTGTTTTTACACTTGTTAGTATAAACATATAAACAATATTCCTGTTTCATGGTAATTTATTATTTATTTATTTATTATTTCATTATGGTAGTGTTACTATATGTAGTATATATATTTATGAAGTTTAACATAGCAAAATACTCTTAGATGGCGCTGTGTTGCCATGTAGATTGTGTTACATTTGTCATTCGTGTACATTTGTGGCTAGTCTGTCTTCAACGTAAAACGTGTGTAGTAGTGAGTTAACTAAGAAGTGTTCCGTTTAATAATGGCAGGATATTCATATCGTGGGTAGGCAGATATGATTTTTACATACAGCTGCGCGAATGGTAATGGACGCGAGGCTGCACGGCTTTATCAGATTGCGTTTCCAGAACAAAGGCAGCCGAGTCATCCACAACCGATGAAGACCGAGATTCGCTCGTACGCTGACCACGAACAACACATTTTGTCGGAGATTATCCAGGTATCAGCACACGTTAAGTGTCCCTATCATTCTGTACATTTCATAGTACCCCATGGTAGGGTACTTCAAAAGTAGATCCTGTATTCGTATCATTTGCAAAAAGTTTGTAAAAGTATTTTTGGATTGTATCTTGGATTGCCCATCTAACAGCATCTATCATAAACTTTAAACTCAAAAATGAAGGATTTGCGGACATATGTTTATATGGACTTTTGTCCTTGTTTTGGTGTGAGGAACCAGCCCTCAGCCCCCCACAAGTTTGTTAAAGTATTTAATTTATATATATATATATTTAATATATATATATATATATATATATATATATATATATATGCTTGTGTGTATATATATATATATATATATATATATATATATATATATGTAGTTATAAAACAACCTTGAATTTGGCAAAAAATAAATAAATATATATATGTGTGTGTATAAGTAGTTATAAAACAACCTTGAATTTGGCAAAATATAAAAATAGCATCCGCCTTGCTAGCTATGTGTAGGAAATTCAAGAAAGAGAAAAACATCCTGTGAAATATGATATCATGAGAAAGATCCACCGATTTGGCTTAGGAAGCGATATTATTTGCAGCTTAAGTCTAAAAGAAGTTGTCGAAAATAACTTACCCTAAGTAGGGTACATTGCTAAATAGGAGATGCGAAATGATGACAGTGTGTAAACATGCAAGAAAATTCCTGTCGGCAAATTTGGAAACGGAGTAGGTTTTATTTTATTTTTGTAATTACTATGATATACAAAATTTCTCCGTAATGGACGGTACATATATTGTGATTTAGTAAGCGTAGCTTAGCTGTGGCAAATATGGAGCACCAAGTGAGGATCAAACTCACTGCTGAGTCGTAATTGATCTCGCGAGAGAAGCTTGTTAACTATTGCGCCCCGTCCAAGTGTCCGTTACATATATTGTGGGTTGAAACAAACAGAAAAAAATGCAACCTGTTTCTCCCTGAAGGCCCATCCGTGAAATCACAAATCACGGTAGCCGTAAGGTTAGTTTACTAGATATATTTTGAATAATATATATATATATATATATATATATATATATATATATATATAAATTCTAAAGAATGGATTTATTTTTAATCCGACATTTTATTACTTAAAGGGCTGTTATACTCGATACGCTGTATTTGAAATAGACACCCACTTATTTATTAAACAATGTGTATTACGCCTTTCGGTCTCATCAATCAAAATGTAGCGTCTATTTCAAATACGGTGTATCCACTATAATAACGTTTGAAAAAATGTCGACTTAAAAATAAATTCATTAATTCTATAGAAATTGCTTTGATTATTTTCTCGAAAGGTTCATACCCTCGTAGATTAAACAAAGGGTTCAGTTCAGTATTTGTCTATATTTCTGAGATGATGTATTATGTACATTATTTACATTATTTGGACTATTGTCCTCATCTTTGTCGCCATATTTATTACAACGTTTCGGCTGTTGTATGCTCCGGCCTTCTCAACTTAACCCTTTATTTCGCTCACTGGGGTAGATTGTTCTAGTTCCACGTGCCATGTTTAATGGATATCAGTTAGCAGTTATCTCCTGTTGATTTCTCTCTTAACCGGGTATTGAACTCACACTCTTTGGGTCCTGTCACTGGATCTAACCAACACCTTTATCCACTGTGCCATGTGTCCTCAAGGATTAAGTTCGACATTCCAACCACCTGAAGAAGGCCGGAGTGTACAACGGCCGAAACATTGTAATAATTATGGCGACAAAGATGAGGACAATAGTCCGAACAATATAAATAAAGTTCAGTTCATAATTCCCTTTAGGTTACCCAGATCGATATAAACCTGAGGAAGGCCGGAGGGTACAATGACCGAAACGTTTTGATGACAACAACAAAAATGAGGAAAATAGTCCGAATATAAATAATGTAAATAAAGATAACTTTCGCCTTTACTTTTGGTTTAATATTTAGAAATTACAGAACATAGACAAGAAAATGCAGAGCCGTATGCAGGATGCGATGGGTAAATTGTCGCTATTTTATATTTTTAATTTCACGTTGTTTGTTTTTGAATTGTTGACTGCACATTATAATAGGGTCAGTTGGGCACCGTCTATGAGAAAAAAAGAGCACCATGACACAATTCATTCCGCTAGAAATTTGGAAACGGTATGCTGTATTGCTTGGCATTCGTACCGGAATCTACAATGCGAACATTTCAGAGTGTTTGGGTGTCAATCTGAGGACAGTGCAGAGGATTCGGAAAGAGTTGGATGAGTTTAATGCTGATTACGAAGGTACAGCAACTCGGAAAACTCACTCTGATCGTTCTGATAAGAAAAGAACAACCAAATTTGTTGATGAGGGCTTCAGACTTGATACTAATACCTACATCAAGTGCCTTGAGGACGTAATGCTCACCTGGGTCAAGAGGGTGGCGGCTGACAAAAAACTCTATGTCTGGCAACAGGACTCTGCCCCATGCCACACAAGCAGGAGGACCCAGTCATGGCTGTCAGACAATTTCTGTGACCACATAATCCCCTTAGATCTGACTACTCCCCAGACAGCATCCACTTTATGATTATGTATAGGACGTAGTTGAGCGAGAAACTAACAAAATTCTTTGTAACACGAAAGATGAACTCAAGGCAAGGAATATGGCAGCATTCACCAACTTAAACAAGGAAACCACTTAGAAAAGATGAAGGAATTCCGAAGTCGTCGGGAGGCCGTGATTTAAGCCAATGGCGATTTTATTGAATAACTTTACTCTTTAGTATTTGAAAATATGTTTGTGTTATTTTGGTAAAATATCTGTTAAAATGAGGTCAGTATTATTTTCATTTTTGGCGTAATTTAGACGACAATTTATCCATCGCACCCTGTAGAAGTAAAAATATTGACACGCGCACAAACACACACACATACACACACACACACACATATATATACTAGTGTTCATCTAATGCAAGGCCCAAGAACTATTCAAGGTACATGGTTAATGTATGGAGTTGTATTAGCGTAAGTAAGCACAAGAGTTAGGATTATAGAATTATTGAAGTAGACTTTAGAACGAACCGGAAATTCAATCCTAAACATGAAACAACTACTGTTGTTCAAAAAACCGGGCAGGCGTATGAACCGGGCGATAAACGAACCTGTCTATTCCTATAAGTAAAATGCAACTGCTATTCTACTTAAACGTCTTAAGATATTTTTCACGCATTAGTAAACTAATGCAAATAATAATTCCCTTACTTAGCGCTTATAGACTTGTAGCGTATAGTGCCACAGCCTCACTACGCTAGGTGTTGCTGCTGTGTTATCTGTAGCTAGTAGGCTTTTATGTGGTGGACGTATTAGCTCAACGTCTATAATAAAAAATACTTTAAAACGTTACGTGCAAAGATAACTCCGAAAGGCGTCATGAAACCGTAACTCATTAAGGCTGTAGGCACACCACATGTACTGCAACCGTGACAGCAATGGATGTGTCTAGAGCAAGATATCCTGGTGGAGCCTGTCCCTCTTCATGTTAGTTTTGAATTCAGTCTACTTTCTCCTAGGCTGATTGCTAACCAAAGCTGTCTTCTCTGTTATTTAACACTTTTTCGATCTCAGTTGAGTCCGCAGTTAATTTTAAACCCGATAATCTTTTCAATGGCTGTATATTATGACTCGCCAAAGCTACATAACCGGTTTTGAATTCCTTCTCTTAGATTGGTTGTAACACACGGCTAGAGAGTCCAGTCTTCCCTGCTATTTAAACTATAGTTCGTAGGAGTTACATTCTATCACCGCCGATCAGACCTCGAACTACCGGCAGTCACGTTGAACGGATGTCCCCACTCCGAGGAGGCTCCGCGCCTTGAGATAATATTGGGACTCAAACACACAGCCGACCTCAAGTAAAACTCGTACATACGATCCATCCCTAAAGATGCAGGTAAAATGATCGGCTCTATGTACCGTTCTAGTAAGTACCTGACTGCTCGTGTTATCCTCTACCTTTACAAGAGCCAGATCGGGTCGAAAATGGAGTACTATTGTCATGTTTCGACGGGAGCTCCCCACTCCTCACTTTCCAGTGTTGATAGAGTTCAAAAGCGTCTTCAAGTCCTTGTGGGTGATGAATTATTTCTCCCCCTCCAACCTCTCTCAGCCGTGATGTGGTGAGCCTCTCACAGCTCTATCGCTACTTTCATGCAAAGTAATGGGACGAACTACATTCCTTCGTTCCGTCAGGTGTAACCTTCAAGGTCAGGGCCCACCATGTCACTTACATCGTAGCAAACCACTCACATTCCCTCTGTAATTCCAGTGATGAGAAGTAAGTTCCACTTGAACAGCTTCTTCCTGCGAAAAGACTCTCAAGAAGATATTCCTATGATCACTACAATCTTAACATCAAGTCTGAAATTAACTGTTCATCTTCCCCTCCTATCCGTATAAACTACCTCTTAACATAATCCTCTACCTCGAGTGGCTCCCGGGCATTGTACAGGGTGAATCTTACTGTAAAAAAAGGAGGAGATGATTTCATACTTTCCTAAATTTACTCGTGCAGAATTGAATATAACGAACTCGATCGAAATTCAAACTGGAATCGCTGATTTCTGAGTCGCTAAGAGTTACACTACCCGCATATCCACCTTTAACTATTACACTAACCGCACCTGATCATTTGACCTGGGGGAAAGAGATCAATTCATAAATTTCCCAACAACCTCGACCGGAATTTGAACTCGGCACAAGGAGCCCACATTCAGCCCTGATAACTGCTATGCTAGGCACATATCCCTGAAAAACGTACAAACAAAACTAGTTTGATCTTGTTGACATTTTGGTGTATATTTATGCTATCATCCTTGAAATCCTCATAACAAAATGGAAGAAAAGAAACTTTATGTTTAAAACTGAAGCTCTTCATCTTTTTTTTTCTCGCTTTTATTATCTGAACAGATTTCCCCAGCGAGGATTACAGCGATACTGGAACCGATGTGTTGCTGCGAGCTGTCGCTCTCGATAGGAATAAGCCTTCGTCTCCTGAAAGAAAAGACGAAGGTTGGAACCATCGGCGCCGGATGTCTATAGATTCAGTTGGTTCCAGTACTTTAACCCATAGTGACTTTGAGATGTCAGGTTCATCTTCAAACCTTGCTACCATGAAGAAAAGATCTCAGTCAGTCGAATTTCGAGGTGAGTGCAGTCATATAAAATAAATGACAGGGTAGTTTTCATTGACTATCAAAGCTGATGTAGTTTGTATGATTCAATGATAAAAACTTATGATGGTTTTCGATAGTAGATCGTCTGAGTACATTTACACACAGATAAATTTAAAAACATATATTATTCAATAGCAATATTTAAACACTTCCACTGCTGCGAACATATACATCGTCGAAAAACGTACATTGCATGCTGTCGACATATGTATACGTCTTCAAGACATACTTATAAACCATTATGAAAGTTATATTGCATGCTGTCGACATATGTATACGTCTTCAAGAGATATTTATAAACCATTATGAAAGTTATATTCCATGCTGTCGACATATGTATACGTCTTCAAGACATACTTATAAACCATTATGAAAGTTATATTGCATGTTGTCGACATATGTATACGTCTTCAAGACATACTTATAAACCATTATAAAACTTATATTGCATGCTGCCAACATATGTATACGTTTTCAAGACATATTTATAAACCATTATGAAACATATATTGCATGCTGTCGACATATGTATACGTTTTCAAGACATACTTATAAACCATTATAAAACATATATTGCATACTATCGACACATGTATACGTCTTCAAGACATAAGTCTTTATAAAACTTACATTGCCTGCTGCCGACATATATACCGTATTTTTTATCATAATACGAGAAATTCTTAATGAAAATTTTGTTAAAAATGCTTTTGATTGCATTGTGACAGCTGTCAAGTTAATGTATAGTTTCACTGTCAAAATTTGTTTATTGGTTCTAATTTTGAACATAGAAGAAAATAGTCGAGATTTTTGACATCTTTTGTTTTCTATTTTTACTAGAATTTTTTGAAATCCTCACAGTATTTAGTATTGTTGAAGTTATCGGTAACATATTTTGTCAAGATTTACAAACTCTATGTTATGTTCAATTTCGCAAATCAATTGATAAAATTTGAATAGGCTGTTTTTGTTTGGAAAAATACTTTGACAAAAACCCTACTTTGCCGTTCAATATTTTTTTAATTTAATTTAATGGTAAACAATATTTAATTAATTAATTATTAGTTAACAATATATTTTAAGAAAATTTCTTTTTACTTTTTTAATAATAAAGAATAAATTCTTATGATTTCTTACTCTTGAGCATGCATAGTTCTTGCAAATGTAAGGCAAAATGCAAACTGGATTCTTGTATATAAAAAGTTAAAGCAAATATATGCAAAAAAAAATATTGCATTTTTATTAAAAAAAGTATTTGTTACTTTAATCATTATTTTTAAAATAATGGGAGTATTTTGTATGGTAAATAATACAACTTATAATTTAAAAAAAAAAAATGAATGAAAATTGATTTATGCTAGTAAAACCAACTGTACTTTGTACCCATTTATCTGTTTGCACTTCTCCCCAAATTTACTTTCAATCGATCAATGTATGACTATTTTAGAGGGTGTGATGGAACTACAGACTAACAAAAATCACAAAATTTTATATATAGATTTTAAGCTGAGAAAGATTTGTGCAATTTATGGACAACCCAAGGTACAATGGATAAATTGTCATCATTTTATATTTTTAATTACACACATGTGCGTTGTTTGTTTTTGATCTTGTCAACTGCACAGTATAACAGGGTCAGTTAGACACTGTCCGTGAGAAAAGGAGAACCATGATGAAATTCACTCCACCAGAAATTTGAAAATGGTATGCTGTACTGATTGGCATTCACGCCAAAAGCTCCAATACAAGCATTTCAGAGTGTTTGATCATAAATCAGAGGACAGGGCAGAGGATTCAGAAAGAGTTGAATGTAATATGGTATAGCAGCTTGGAAAACTCACCCTGATCATTCTGATAAGAAAAGAACTCTTAAATTTGTTGGTGAGGGCCTCAGACTCAACACAGAGGCCTATATTAAGTTCATTGAAGAGGTAGTGATGCCCTAGGGTAAGAGGGTGGCTGCTGCAAGACCCTATGTCTAGCAACAGGACCATGCGACATAAACAAGAAAACCCAGTTATGTCTGTCAGACAATTTCTGTGACCACATCACCACTTACATCTGGCTACCTAAATTCCCAGACTACAAATCCATTGATTATTAAGTGTGGGGCACAGTTAAGCAAGAGACCAACTAAACTCCTAGTAACACCAAAGATGAACTGAAGGCAAGGATTATAGCAGCATTCACCAACTTAAACAAGGAGACAATCCAGAAGAGATGCAGGAGATTCCAAAGTCGTCTGGAGGCTGTGGTTGAAGCCAATGGTGATTTTATTGAATAAATTTACCCTTTAGTATTTCAAGATATTTTTGTGTAATTTTGGTAAACTGTTGGTATCTGTTAAGATGAGATGTCAGTGTTATTTTCATTTTTGTGTCATTTAGACGACAATTTATTCATCATACCCTGTATATTGTGAATGACTAAATGGATCAAAATTGATTTGCATATATTCCCCTTGAGATTTCTTGTTGAATGCTGTATTGTGATTGAGTAGATCAAATGAAGTTGATAACAATGAAATGAAAATATTACTAACGAATACTCTACTAATATTACAAGATATAAGAACAAAGCCAACATACACAAAATATCCAAATAAAATAATTGGAATCATTTTCATCAGTTTGCTTATTTTAGTTACTTTGACGTTCAACTTGTATACAAGTTAATAAAAAAATAATGAAACAGAAAAGAAATATACTTGCTTTTATGTCTGTGTTTAATTCACTGCTTGAATGTAATGAAAATGTTTAGTTTTTGAAAGCCATTGTAACAGACAATTAAAAATGCTTATTTTATAACCCAGGAGATGTCATGGGGAGAGCAAAAATGAACCACTATTAATTGTATAAGAGACTGGTCTTCGTCCAAAGTGAGTGATGCCAAAAATAGATGAGATTGGAACAGATTCCTGAAGAAGACTTGATTGGTTGTTTTTGTTTAGCGGCATATCAACCTCTATGGGTTATTTAATGTTGAAATCTAAATATTCTTTTAATTTTATTTTTGGAGATTATAATTGTTTAGTGATACAAGTCTTACTAATTAATCCATAGCTGGAGGAGAAGAGATATATTCATATCTTTTCCAAATGTACTTGCATGTAAATGAATATAACAAACCCAATGGGAATTGGAACTTGGCTCTTTGACTAACATTTTCGAACTATTATCAATTATATCCCATGCAAATCTAAGCTTACAGCACTTAGTATGCCCAAGCAGTCACCCATCTAAGTACTAACTAGGCTCGATGTTGCTTATCTTTCAGTGATTGTATGAAAATTGGTATCTCAGCATGATGCAGCTTCTGAGGAAGACAAGTATTGGTCCTTATTAGAACAATTATGGCAGTGGTTCCCAAAAGTGGGCTCAATAACAGAATAGCATGTGCTTTGGTTGGTAGCCGGTCTAAGGGAAAGATGATGCTGTCGAAAATAAAAAAAATATTTTATCTGACCTGGTATCATGACTTCAGGCACTTTCCCATTGCTGTAACATGGCTTCCCTCTGTCTTTTCTATCAATATTTCCATGACAATTGTCCTAATGTACTTTCCTCCTTGGTATCTCAACCACATAAATTTAAGCTTACTACTAGATGGGCAACTAGGTCTCATTGCTTTACTAGGTAGGACTAGATAGATGCAACCATATTTTCTATTCTAATAGTTTCTTTTCTCACACTCCTTTCCTGTGGAACTCTCTTTCAGTTTCTTGCTTCCCTGCAATCTTCAAAAATTTAAATGCAACAACAATCACAATCTTCTGTCTCCCTAAATCTCCTCCCTAAAGTTTTGTTCTCATTAACCCCTGGTGTCTTAATGACATTATTGCCTTGCTTAGGGTGAAATGATTAAAAATAAAGAATGATTTTAATAAGCCAAACAATTTTTTTACCATTCTGATAAGATGAAAGAAAAATATATGAACAATTAATAATATTGCGGTAATCCATGGAGTCTTGAGTTGTTACCAGCCCAACCCCCTTCTCAAAACCAATATTCTTATGTTTGATTCTTGAGATGCTAATTTTTAGGAAGTGGATTGGGCTGAGAACTTTTCAACACCACTTTGTAGGTTTGTTTTTTTATCATAGATTTTTTTTTTTTTTAGGTCAAACTCTCTCTGACCATTCCATAGAAAAACCAACTACAAGAGAAGCCCTGAAAACTGTCAATGGCACCAGATATATGGATTCCTCTTCATCTGCTTGGGACATAGACAAAGCAAAGAAAATGCCATATGTTTCCTCAAACAAAAAAATCATCTCAGGCAGCGAAGCCAGTAAAAGGTTCGGATTTGAATAACAAAAGTCATTTCTATGAGTTTAGACTTAATAACAAGAATGAAAAAGGAAATAGTAACGTGAGAAGAATGAATTAGGATAGGACAAGAGTAACGAGTATGAAACAAATTAAATGTGTGTGTGTGTGTGTGTGTGTGTGTGTGTGTGTGTGTGTGTGTGTGTGTGTGTGTGTGTGCATTTGGTGTGTATCTTTGCTTATTATCAATGTTTATGGAAAAGGGTAGAGATGGAAAAAGATTTGTTAAATTACAAAAAAAATGTGTGCAGACTAGATGAAAAAATTGGGTACAGATAAATACACTTTGAGGCTAGGCAGCATCTAACGTCTTCTTGATTCCTCTTCTTTTATTGTTCTCACACATTAATATTTTTCGTTTCCTTATTTTTTCACACTCAGTAACCTCCTGTGTGTTAGTGGCTTTATTGCTTTGCTTGGGTAAAATGATTAAAAAAGTGCTAGGAAGCAACACTTCTAACTTTAGCAAATAATACAAATATGTAACTCCATATATAAATAATGTCATTTTTTATGGGTATTCTGCACTGTGTGCAGAATACCCATAAAGTGAGTGCATGTGTGTGTGTATACATATCTGTGTATTTATTTCTTATCGATAGAAACATTGTTTTTAGTGAGTACAGGTACTTGAGTCATTTTTATTTTTTAAAACTGTGAAATTAATTATAAACTAGCCTGCATTGAAAAATCCAAGTAAAAAAAATGTACCTCCCAACAAGAGGTAACAGTAATTTTTATAGTAATAAGAAATAATGTCAGATAAGAAAATCTACTTAAAAATGACTGTGATTACATTTTGGGTATGAAAATGATGCTAGTAGATATAGATTTGAAAATGGGTATGAACGTAACATTTTGGGTATGAAAATGATGCTAGTAGATATAGATTTGAAAATGGGTATGAATGTAACATTTTGGGTATGAAAATGATGCAAACAGATATAGATTTGAAGAAGTCCCAACCAGTAATGTGCATTCCCTAAGTAGGTAATTGGACCTTGTTTTACCATGAATTGTAATTTTCACCGTTTTATATTTTTAATTTTGTGTATGTGTGTTGTTTGTTTTTGATTTTCTCAACTACACAGCGTAGTAGTGCTGACCTGAGTCAAGAAAGTGGCTGCTGCTGCTGCTGCAAGACCCTATGTCTGACAAGAGGAATCTGCAACATGCCACACAAGCAGGAGAACCCAGTCATGGCTGTCAGAGAATTTTTGTGACCACATCACCATTTAGTTCTGGCCACCTAACTGCCCAGACTCTGACTCTCTTGATTATTATGTGTGAGGTGCAGTTGAGCAAGAGGCCAACAGAACTCCTTCTAACACCAAAGATGAACTGAAGGCAAGGATTATGGCAGCACACAGCAACTTAAACAAGGAGACCATCCAAAAGAGATGCTGGAGATTCTGAAGTCATCTGGAGGCTGCGGTTGAAGCCAATGGCGATTTTATTGAATACTCTTTAGTATTTCAAGATATTTTTGTGTAATTTTACTAAATATATCTATTAAAATGAAATGCTGGTGTTATTTTCATTTTTGTGTAATTTAGATGATAATTAATCCATTGCACCCTGTATAGATAATAAATATATTGTTTAAAGTTTGTTATAGATAGAACGTGAATATAACAATGAAGTGCTGCATTGTAACTATCTATCTATATCTGTCTATCTATAAAGCTATATATATATATATATATATATATATGATTGAATAAATTACAAACCTTATGTTTGCTTATTTTTATCATAATTCTTTCATATTCATGAATATTTTTCTAAAGAGACCCTAAATATATCAAACCCTTATATTGTAACCAGATGTATGCAAACTACAAACAGAATGAGAAAATCATAAAAACCTTATTCGTACCAATATATCTCCCATGGATCCCAATAAAAAATATATAATTAATCATATATTATACAAAATACAATGCAACCAACTTATTTTTTCACAATAACTCTTCCCCACAAACTGATGTATTATGTAAAACCAACATTATATATCAATTCAAATGTCCCTTGAGAAAATGTATCTCCAACAGAAAAACAAATATCTATGTTGGACAACTATATTATCAAGATGTTTTACTCTACACATGTCTGAACATTCATCCCTTATGAGATATTTACACCAACATTCCTGTCCACATTCACAGTATAGAAAAATATTGATTGATAACATATCTATCGTACACCAAGAACATAACAAATTAAAAATACAGATCCTCAAAACAATCTACATTAAAAAATTGAAGCTGACACTGAATAAAATCAGCTATGAATATTGTACTAATGTTCTAAAATGCCTATAAAAAGATCACTTTTCACACTTTAATGTGCACTCAACCACAACATTCCAACAAAAAATAAAAAATTCCATGATGGATGACTTTTCACATTCTAATGAATGCTAAAGCATAACTGTCAGCTGTTGCATTTAAATGCAAAAGAAAAAATTCAGTAATGGATAGCTACATATAGTTTTTTGCCTTACTAGTTGCACCCCTCATGATGATCTCAGAAAGAGATGGAAAATACTTAGGAAATAAAAGTGATTTTCACTGTTACAGTGCATTTCTTGCTTTATTTGATTGTAATATATGGAAAAATATTCATGAATATAAAAAGGATTATGATAAAAATAAGAAGACATAATGTTTGTAATTTATTCAATCAGACATGTCTAAAAGAGAATTTACAGACTAAATACACAATATATATATATATATATATATATATATATATATATGTACACACACACACACACACACATATATATATATATATATATATATATATATATATATATAATGGCCAAAAACTTGTTTTCCAAGAACACCCATCTACTAAGGTGGATGGCCAGTCTCTGTTGTGTAAATGTCTACCCAAGCACATTTGTGTTTGTTCAGCACACCCAGGACCCCACCAACTGAAGATGATACAGTGTTGATAGCATACATGGAAAAAGAACTACAAAAATTCCTACAAGAGGTAGTGAAGGAAAGTGAGAAGAAAAGATTAAAAATCAACTGCAAGATTACAGAATGCAAGGATAATCCCAATTTGCTAATTGCAAACTGGAGACATAGAAATCAAACAAGTACAAAAATTTAAATATCTAGCAAGTGTTTTAGTAGAGGACACAAAGTATGACACTGAAATTCAAAGGCGTATTCAGATAGCCAATGATGCATTCCAAAAGCTAAGCAGGGTACTAATAAATAGAAGAACTAATGCACAAAATAAAAAATAAATCCTTTTTCTACTAATCAATCAAAACATTTTAAAAATTATCAACTTTGTACAAAACCAATGTTTTCTCATATTCAATAATAGTTATACAAACAAAATTTCTGCTTATCTATGGATTCCTCAACTCTCTCTCTCTCTCTCTACTATAAAAAGTTATTGGTCACAGTTGAATTAGACCAGGAAACAGTAGTATTAAAAATGCTCAATACACATATAAAGAAAATAAAAATTTAACATGCAGAGCTTTTAAATTTAAAAATTAGTAGATTAGCCAATCACATTACATTGGTTTCAACCTTTTGGTATCTTCAGGCGATTCAGGCTAAATAATTTCCTTACACTTTATTATTTAAAAATAAATAAATGCACAATGCAAAGTCTAATAGAAGTGGGAGGAGAAAAGCAAGGGTATTGAAACTGTATCAGAGGCAGGTTATATGAAATGTACATGTTTTCATCCTGGTTCAAATGAACTCAAAAGGAATTTTTTAGTTTGTATGCATTCTGCCATTATTTCTGATCTCTCATTCAGAAGTTTTTCCTGGTCTGGAAATGTTATTATCCTTAACTTTTCTTCCTGGCAATATATCACTATGATTGCTGTAATTTTATATATATATATATATATATATATATATATATATATATATAAGGTAAAAACTGACAAAATGTTAGAAGCCTGTTTGATGTATTTTGTCCTTTAAGACATCATCTCACTAATGCAACTACACATGTCTTTGTCAAGTTCTGATTTAATTTAGTTTCTTTTTCTTTATGCTTTTTTCACTTTTGTTATTAAATACCCTACACTGTGATAATAGAAGATTTGCCAAGAAAGGTGAAATATTGTCTGAAACTGGGTGTAAATTTACTGTGGATGATCTAGCAATTAAAGCACTTTCTATACATTTTCCTCTTAGTAAATTGCTTTCTCTTTTCATTATAGTAGCATTTTTTAAATCAAAATTATGGCCAGATTTATTACGGTGAGCAAATAATGCATTGAGTTTCTTGTTTTGTAAAAGGTCACTTTTGTGTTCGTATAATTTATTTAAGTTCCTTCAGGTTTCTCCTATGTATTCCTTGTGACAATTTACATGTAACAGAGTAAATTCTTCTTTCAAGTTTTAGCTAATTACTAGCAGTAGAGCCTGGCATTGCCCGGGGATGTAATAGTAAGAGATAGATCAAGTATCAACCATCATAAAGACTGAAAAATAAAATTGACAAAGATTATTGTTTAAGGTTGACGGACACACATGTCTTAATTAGTTTTTTTTTTGTTTTACAAATTGGTCAAACCCAAACAAAAACATTGTTATCAAATGTTATGAGTCTATCGATTGAATAGAGTTTTATTATAAACAATTGTCTTGTAAATGGAATTTTTAAAGCATTCTGAATGTAAAAATAAAGGATAAAGTGAAAATAATAAACACTACCTGCCAAAAAAAAAGTGAAGTTTTGTTGAAATCGGTTGAAAAATGTAGGAAATCCAATCCCATATATAAACAAACACACATACACAAACACCCTGGGTTTTATAATAAGTATAACTTGATATGAGTTGTCCCCCTTTCATTCTTGACAGCGATGCTTCTTAATCGTGTTTTCAAATTGATTTCATGCAAAAACAATTGTATTTTTCCAATTTTTGGTGCAGTCAGAACCACCGCAAGGTAATTTTACGTAGTCCTGTGAAGTTTTGTTAAAATCAGTTGAAAAATGTAGGAAATCCGATACAATATATAAACGTACACACACACACACAACCTGCGTTTTATAATAAGTAAGATTTTGTTTTGTATTAATTAAGTCTTCTATTGTTTTAAAAGTAGTTGTAATGAATGTTAAGTTAAGCTTAGTTAAATTCTTTTCAATTGTAGTTGTGATACATTTGCTGGGTAGAACAATATATTTTGATTTGTCAGGTTTGTTAGGTAGGTTCATTTTTTTCTATTTTGAAATATTTTACAAGCCTATTGCTTCACATTGAATATGAAATAATTAGGGTATTGGAGGAGCTCAGAAGTATTTTCAATGTATTTCTCCTCTTCATGTAAATATTGAGGTCATTATAAAGTTTGAGTTCTCTTAAATAAAATCTAATGATTATTCCTAATTTTATTTTGTTGTTGAAGTGAGAATAGAAATTTATGAGATCAATTTTATTAGTTGATTTGTGATGGATAAATTTAATATTCTCAGCATTACTTCATGAAAATGTATAGTCACGTCAAATTAAACATCACTTTAGTCTGATGAAGTCTGAAAGGATGAAACACATTACACGAGAACTTTTTCCAATTTATCATAAGTTTTTCCTTAAAATTGTTCTTGATATATAAAAATTTATATATCGTTTTCCCCCACACACACACACACACACACACACACACACACACACACACACACACATATATATATATATAAATAGATTATGATAAAGATATACTTTTGAGGTATGCTATATTTATGAGTTAAAGTGCTCAATATTAGGGACAGAGCATATATAGATATAAATATAAAGTCAACATCAACTGACAATAGTCTGTTTCATGCTTAAATCTAACTTTCAGCCTGAAAAACACATTTAAGCATGAAATTTAAGCATGAAATAGACTGTTGCCACTGAGTGTTGACCTCAATGTCAACTTTTATACTTCTATAAATGGATAGTCCCCACATCAGTGGTTTTATACTAGAGTAAACTTAGTAAATACACATACATATTTGGTAGGTAAATACATGCACATACATACATACATATTTTTAATAAAAGTTAAATAAATATATTTTTACAATCCTGTTACTTTTCATCTGGTTAATATTACAAATTATTATTTAAACCAATTGTCAGGAGGTATTCATCTACACAGGTAAACCAATTGTCAGGAGGTATTCATCTACACAGGTAAACCAATTGTCAGGAGGTATTCATCTACACAGATATGTCTATAAGTCTGTCATTTAACAATGAACAAACATTGATTTTAAACAAATATTTATTTTTCAGCATAATTGCTTTTGTCAAAACATCCAGTGTTTTAGTGATTGCCTACATCAAGCATTATGCACTGATAATTTCAGTTCAAAACTCAACTCATAAGCATGTGTCCAGTTATAGACTTATTTATCCCACTTCGTACATTCAATGATTTTGTGTCCCCATTCCTATCAAACTGGAAGTCATGTCATATTTTTATCAATTTTAGCTGCAGAAATTTTCTTACTGGACTCTGAATCTAAGTAGTTTGTCCTTCAAACAAATACAACAGAAATTTATCTGTCAAAATAAATTACACTAGAGTAAAGAATACGGTTCTGAAAGTTATTTGTGATTATTTTTATTTATATTGTTGTTCACCCAATACAACATTTAAGGACCACTCAAACTAGAGTGTTACTGAATGAGGTTGTATGAGCGTAAAGAGAAGATTGATCGATTGATTTTGTTTTTTACAGTTTACTAACACAGGTTATTTAAAACTAGAAAATATTTTTAGATTGTAAGAATTTTGGAGAGATAATAATGATTTTACTGATAAAAGTCCTACTAATTAACCCATAGCTGGAGGGAAAAGAGGTGGATTCATCCCTTTTCCAAGTGTATTTGTGCATAAGTGAATATAAAAAACTTGACTGGAATTGGAACTCAGATCTCCAATTTCCAATTCTGAGCTGTTATCCATTACACCATCTACACATTCAAGCTTGCACCACCTGGTATTCCCAAACCTTCACCCATGACCAGGCTTGTCATTGCTTAACTTTCATGACTGAACAAGAAACAGTGTTTCAACTGTAAGCCCAAAAAGAGAGGAAGTAAAAAGTGAATAATATGAGGATATGTAGGGTTGACTCTAGACTTGAAGAGGTTAAAATCATAGTGATCAGGGAAGCATCCTCTCGGGAGTTTTTGACACAATGTAACAGTTGTAGGGAAGCTATCTGAGGGGAACTTCCATCTTACCAATGGAATACGATGGGAATGAGGTTGATTTCATCCTGTGTATGTGGCATGGCAGGTTTTAGCTGTGAAAGTCTGAACTGGTGGAACTAAAGAATGTCTGAACGTTTGCCATCAAAATAGCAATAGGGTAGTGAAAGGCTAGCGATATATCATTTATGGGGAAAGGGGTTAATAATTCATCACCTATAAGGCCACGTAAATGCTTTTGAACTCTGTCAACGCTGGAAAGTGAGCACCAGAAACCGATATGTCATCCATGTTTTATTTTGGGTCTGATTTGACTTTTGCAAACATAGAGAAAGGGAGCTACATACAAAACAATGAGGGTAACATTCAGTTGATTTTCTTTTTTTTTACCTCTTTCAGGCAATGGATATTTACTCAAGGAATGCAGCCTTATATCCCCCGATCTTCTGACGATATGCATATTGGAGATGTGGTCAAATTCTCTAAACAAAGTGGCAAGATATCGCAAGGCATTGTGACATTCATAGGTCCTCTCTATGGGCGCAGAGATATTTATATCGGCATTGAACTACAAAAAGACGGTAAGTAATCCAACAGGAATAAAACTTGCTTTTTCTGTTTCAAAAAGTAAAAAAATTCTGGTCATCTTTCTTTAAATGTCACCTGTAAAGTTGTTGAATAATTATTCTGTAGGAAAGACAAGTGGTTTCAAGTAGAAAAAAATAAAAAAGAAGCAAATTCAAGATTCCATCTCATGAGAGGAATGAGTGATCAGGAATTTTAACAATCATATCCTGGATAGTGTTCAGATTTTCTCACTATGGTATCTATAATATAAAATTTAAAGAAAAAGATGCCGTTAAATAACATTACTGTAGTAAGGTGTAATTCCTTTCTCTCACTATTTCAGTTCATATCTATCTATATCTATCCATCTGTTCAATTATCCATCTACCTCAATCTGTTCATATCTATCTATATCTATCTCAGTCTGTTCATATCTATCTATCTATCTATCTATCTATCTATCTCTGTCTGTTCATATCTATCTATCTATCTATCTATCTATCTCTGTCTGTTCATATCTATCTATCTAGTCTGTTCTATCTATCTATCTATCTATCTATCTATCTCTGTCTGTTCATATCTATCTATCTATCTATCTATCTATCTATCTATTTATCTCAGTCTGTTCATATCTATCTATCTATCTATCTATCTCTATCTATCTATCTATCTATCTATCATATTTATCTATCTATCTGTTCTGTCTGTTTTATCTATCTATCTCAGTCTGTTCATATATCTATCTATCTATCTATCTATCTATCTATCTATCTATCTATCTATCTCTGTCTGTTCATATCTATCTATCTAACTCTGTCTGTTCATATCTATCTATCTCATCTGTTCATATCTATCTATCTCAGTCTGTTCATTATCTATCTATCTATCTATCTCCGTCTGTTCTATCTATCTATCTATCTATCTCTGTCTGTTCTATCTATTTATCTATCTATCTATCTCTGTCTGTTTATTTATCTATCTCTCTATCTCTGTCTGTTTATATCTATCTATCTCAGTCTGTTCATATCTATCTATCTATCTATCTATCTATTTGAGATGGGGCTGAAATCTTCCTGGTCTGACTTACTTCCCAAAATCAAATAATAAATCATCAGAATTTGTTTTGGTATCCATTCTTGGTTGGGCCAAAAGCTTTTTGTCATCCCCTTACATACTGTATTTCATGGCTTACAAGACGCTGTGCTGTGGCTTGGAAGATGTACCCTAATATTGGAAAGAAATTCAAGAAAATAAAAGTCATTCTCATACAACAGCACATTCAGTGTGCATCCCTCACATACTGGCACCACTTATTGTTTACATTAATCACTTGCTTGATTTTGTTTGTATGCCAATGACATACGAGTCAAGAGCTGAAAGGCTCCCACAGCTGCTAGTAAACAGGACATGTTTAAGCTTGTGGCTCAGCTCCTGGAAGGTTTGGAAATACTTGTAACAAATAAGTGCTGAGGTTACATCATATAAAAGGCTTAATTAGATAGATAGCTAATATTATAGGGTAATGACTCACCATACAAATCCACATCCCTATCAGTGAAGCCTATTAGGTGACTGTCCAAGCTTACTTGAGCCTGGGTGTTGCCTTATCTTCATCTTGGAAGATGCACACATATTTTTCAGGGTATTTTTTAGGAAAAAAGTGCATCTTGTAAGCCAGAAAATACAGGGTACATATATATATATATATATATATATATATAGTCTGTGGCAGAGTATGCCTATCAAATGCAGGGCTTCATAGTCATCTGTAAAACCATGTTGATGTCCCACCAACAGAAGGAAATATTTTTATCAATACAGTGCTGAGTGTATCAAAGAGTATAAAAGCTGTTTGAGTATTACAACACATTTGAGGGCACACTTAAACCAGCCAAACAGATTTAGTGTGTTATGAATGTGGCAAAGAATGTAAGTCCCTTGCTGGCCTCAAGAGACACTGTTGAAACCTCATTTGTCCTGTCAAGCAGCATTCACGTGTATAGTTCTTGTGTGTTTGTGTATTACAAATCTTGTTGGTCTATGTCGTATCTGGTTGATAATGTATATGCATGTATGTGTGTGCATTTCTGAATCTAGTGACCATTTTTATGTCTGGTAATGTCTGTATGACGATTGGGGGATGTTTTGCATGAGAGTGAAAGAATTTAGGTTACATTAATTGTGGTTGTATGTAGACAGATTCTTCAGATTTGGTAATGTGTTAAAGTGTGTTTAATGATGGTGATTCCTTCTAAGTATTTTCTACATAATGAATTATGTGCTTTTCTAATTAGGATGTTGTTTATTAAATCTGTTAATAAATGATAATTTTAAATAACAACTTATAATGTAAAGATTAAGAGAGTTGTTGGAAAATTATGTTGCCAAAACATCATTGCCAAACGTATGTTTATGTCTTCCTTTTTCACCAAAAGTCTCATACAATATGACATTCAACTGTAGAAAAATCTAATTTCCTCACAGATGAAGAGGAGATTTCAGTCAATAGAGATATAGTTCTACAGAAGGATGCTGAGAATACCATGGATGAAACATGGGAGAAATGTGGGACCTTTAAGGAAAAAAAAAACAATGCTTGTACTTATAATTAGAAAGAGACTGTTGAAATTTTTTTAGGAAGGGGTCATATAATGAGAAAAGAATGCTTGGAAAATTTTAAACTCACAAGAAATACTGAAAGCAAGAAGCACAAAAGGAATCAATGAGTAATCTCTTAACAAGTTTGTGTAAATGGATGGCAGAAAAGGTACTGGGAAGGATAGTAAGGGGACAAACATTGCTTAGAGCTACAAAAGATAAGAAGTTGTGCAGAGACGTGTTCAGACAGGTTACATAAAAGAGAAGAAAACCTTACTAATTTTTTACCTTTCCAAAGTAATTCAAAGAAATTTCTACAAAGCTGAGTGTATATTTTTCTGATTTTACAGAAGGCAAGCATGATGGCGTATTTGAAGGTAGAAGATATTTTCGATGGTAAATATATGTTTATTTATTTTAAATTCAAAATTATTTTCATGAATTTTTTGAATTAGTGCTCACCTAATTGGAACTTTTTAAGTATAGTCTGAACATAGTTTGAAAACTGTAAGAGAATTAAGTTGTTTTACAAAAATGGATATGATTAAATAAAGAACAAGTAGAAAAATCTTTTATAAATTTGACATGTTTCACTATTTAGCTTCATCAGAAATTTTGAGAAGTGAAATAAAGCATTTACCAACCACCCAAAAAAATTCAGATGAAGCTAAATAAATAGTATATGATACTTTTGTTCTGTTGGACTTACTTTATATTTTGAGAAAATAAAAATCCACAGGCACAGGGAAAAATTAACAACAATAACTAATAATAAGATATAACAATTACAACAACAGACTAATAATAAAAGTTATGTGATAGAAAAGTCATTCTTAATTTAGATCCTAGTACACAAATCATCTATTGTTTATGGTTTTTCTTTGCTATGTCTAAATTGCTAGCATCATTTGTCTTGTATTTTTGGACCATTATTAAGTAAAAACATCTGAGTAGTTTATTTCTGGGGTTGATTAAAATGAAGTAAAACTGCACATCTGTAGAAAAGCAGTGACTATTGTAATTTGGAAGTGTCTGCATATATAACTGTGTTTTGATAATGAATGTTGCTGTGCTTTACTTACTCCGTTCTGGGTAAAACAATAAACTACATTCGTGTCCTGGGTAAGATGATAAACTACATCCAACAGCAAAGCCTCTGACCAGCAGGCTTTGAGAAGCATGAAACTACCTCTTAATTGTTGGTGTTTCCAGGTCCCCTCTGACCTGGAGTGGTAGCACCTGTTAGAGTCCCAGCTATGGGTAAATAGTTAACCCCCAAGCTAGAGTGAAAACACTATGAAAGTGTAAAAATAGATTTTAATACCAGCAATAAATTTTTGTAAAAAAATTACCAGCAATAAATTTTTGAAGAAAAAATTATTGCCAGCATTACTTTTTGTAAAAAAAATATTACCAGCAATAAAAATCTTGTCAGCATTAAATAAACTATTGAGGTTGATATGCCATAAAACAAACCAAACCAAATGTGCTTTACCTAAATGCTAATTGACACTTTATTAAACATGATTTATTCTAAATGAAAACTTCTCAGTACAAAATAAAACATTTATCTTGATATTTTTAGTGGATACTAATATTTGAGTAGATGATCTGTTTATTTATCAAAACAGTTTATTTATTTTCGTCTACCATCTGCTGGAGAGCACATATTTTTTCTAATAAGATTTCTCAAATATTCAGAATGGCAGATAAAAAATAAATAAATATACTGTTTAAAACATAAAGGGAGCATCTACTCAAATACAAATAACCATTAAAAATAACATTTAAGTAATAAAAAATCTGTCAGATTAATAAATAAAAAATCCACCCTTTTCTTTACAATTTGTCTTGTTAATTTAGTATTAATTTTTCTTATTGTTTTCATTGCAGCAAACCGAACAAAGGAGTTTTTGTGACATTCAACAAGATTGTGATGGCCTGGGAACCTGTTTATCAGTCTAGCTGTTAGTTTTGAACACTAAAACAAAAAAGAAAGTTTGTTTTTGCCATGTGAAGTGAAAAAATCTTGACAACAATCATTTTATGACTTGATTTTAAAATAATAATAACCTTTGTTAATTTCATAAAATGCCATGACAAAGTCAATATGGAGTCTAGACATCTTTTATAATATTAAAACTTTTATAATATAAAAATGTATATTTCATGGCTTATTCAGACTAGAATCCTCATGTTTATTGCTCCAAATACTTGGCTTTCACCAGTACACTTTCCTACCTTCCTTAGTGCTATGGACAGAATCCTTGATTGCAAATGCAACTATATATATCACTCATTCTATCACTCCAGGAAGCATCTAACTCCTGCCATGCACCATCTTTATAAAAGTCAAATTAGGCCCAAAATTGAATATTGCTGCCATATCTTTCCATCCTTAATTGAGTTTAAGATTGTTTACAAAGCCTTGTAGGGGAAGACTTATTCTCTACTCTGTAGCATCTTTCCCATAGATTCAACATTGCAAGCCTATCACTTAATCTATTGCTATATTCATCTCAAATGAGCATCATTCTTTAGATACCAGTTCAAACCTTTACAGCTAGGATACAGCATACTACTCTCATTTCTGCTGTATTCCAAATGTAAGAAAAAATTCAATGCTGACAACTTTTTTCAAAGAATTACTAATGGGTGTTCCAATAGCTTGGATTGATTTTAAATGTGAATTAAGTTTAAGTGTCTAATGATTTTTTTCCTTTTTCTTTCAGATTTAACAACTTAAGTCTTTGGCAATTTCAACCATGGAAAGATTAACAATTAAACAATGTGTTAAAGTTATCAAAGCCTATTACGAAAATGAACATTCAAACAGAAATGCATTTAGCACACTTTGCAATTTTTTTGGTCGACCAACAGAGAGTGCATTTGGAAACAATGTAACATTATTGTGGAGAGGTTCAATTCCTGTGCGCAATGATGAATGGAGGTGTCTGGATTTTCAACTACATTCTTGTGCCCTGCAGCAATGTTTTCAGCTGAATGGCGTAAATGAGCATGCAATGGTGTTTTACATCTGCCACCGACCCAGTTTGTTTGAATTTACAAACAATTTTTGCAATTGCACTCTTGAAACTTTAACACGTTGTTTGATTATTAATCTTTCCATGGTTGAAATTGCCAAAGACTTAAGTTGTTAAATCTGAAAGAAAAAGAAAAAAATCATTAGACGCTTAAACTTAAATCAGTCCAAGTTATTGGAACACCCATTTTGTAGAACAGATCCCACATAAGTGTTTCCTTGAATCTCTTTACCTCTTTGCATCAAAGGCCAGCTACTATCAATCTTCATAATCTTCACTTGCTATCACCACCTCTTTCATTCATATCACACCTTATTCATCATTACCATTTTAACAGTAACTCTCTATTTTGATTGGCTCTTGAGCCATGTATTAGGTGAATCTTAGCATTAAAAGATGTTACTCAAGTCAGTGGACCATTTTAATTGGCAGTGTGAAATCAAAATAAATAAAAATAAAAAT